CATTGTTGTAAATCCCCTCTATCTCCAGTCAGTCAATAGTAGGTAGCTGTGGGGTTCATCTGGGGATGTTTTTCTTTGCAGCTTTTAATTTGGATACTTCTAGGGCCTAGGTGCTCTCCTCCTGGGCAGTGTTTTATTCAGCATAAATGTACCGAACTCTTGTAAACAGAGCAGGTCAGGGATCAAGCAGAGTAGCAGTTGTCACAATCAGAAAGGTCAGACAATTAGTAATGGAGGAGCTAGAGAGATGCATTCTTAGGGTAACAGTAAATACAGCCCCCAGTTTTCAACACAGATGATTATATCCTTAGTGTAATTTTCAACATAATTTATCAGATGAGTCAGGAGTGCAGACAGAATCAAGGAGAAACAGCCTTTCCTTGGTGGTGAGTTTTATCTGTCTGTAAACAGTAATGATGCAGCTCCTGTCATGTTTATTACTTAATATATGAGGTTGCTGTTCATAAAGAAGCTCGGTAGAAGTTTCAGAGTTATAAAATAGTGACCCAGTAGCTGGTTTCCTGCAGAGCGAACGGTGTAAGTACACAAGTTGTGTTTGTCATGAAAGTAGGAAAGGTCCCCTTCCTCTAACCCACTTCTTCCCATACTACTGCAGTGCAAAAGAAAGCTAATTATCCATTTCCATCCTTATCATGCTGCAGTGGCACCCCAAAAAATGTTTTCTTAGCCAATGCTTTTCTTCTACAGCTTATTCTTTGGATAGACAGGTTTTTGCCCTCCAGCACAAGCTGCCTCTTGCTCAACTCTACTCTGAGGCAGCTCATTCAGCTTTGATATGTCTCTCCAGCACCTGGACCTACCTGCAATCAGGATGTCTTATGATGTGTGTATTTAACAAGGTCTTGACCAGATCTGTGAACTGTAATGCCAAAGCTGTGTCCTGCGTGTGCAGTGGAGGTGCATGTCAAAAGAAACAGTGGACCTGAGCCCCATCTCAGTAGTGCACTTTCATCTATTATTCATTCTTCAGGAGCAGGTCTCCCTAGCAGYTAGATTGAAATTAGAGGCAGGGGTTTCAGTAGGCAGTAGCCTTTTGACATCTGAGGATGCAGAAGCCATAAATGGCCTTTTGACTCTGGTCTGAAATGTTGGTAATCTTGATGAATGTRTGAGGTATTACTGGCATGTTTGCCCTTTGTGATGCTTTCACACTGTAGTCCGTTCCCAAAAATTCTCACCACACATGGCCRTCAGGAAGATCTGGACAGGTTCAGAGGGACACAGCTCAATACACCTAGAACAATTAGGGATAATGCAGCTGAACTGCTCTGGTGTGTTGGCTGCTGCAGCTGGAGACTTGGCAGAACAGGTGAGGCCCCTTTTCCCCTCTTGTGTATCTGGAAGGTAGAATCCACCATTAATAAAATTTGTATTTGCCAGTGAAGAGCAGTACCTTGAACCCAGAAGCATAATTACCACAAGGACAGTCTGATAGATGTACATAAATGCCTAACAAGTGTATGAGCACTATCTTTTCATTGCTGGGGTACATTTTCTTTCTGTTATAAAAACTATTTTGTTGAGGGACAAGTCTTTCTCTCAAAGATACATTTTTAATTCTGCCAATGGAGCTGTGCCAATTTCTTGAACATTTGCACCTGTGCACTAGAGAGGACACAAGTTGCTTTTAAAATGCTAACTTCATTAGGAAATACAGCCAGAATGTAACGTTCTGAGCGGTTGGTTTTGTTTTGTTTTTCTCTGAAGGCTTTAAGTATGAATCAGTTGAGTTACAGAGCTGCTACTGCCTCACCCACAGCAGGATTTGATGGGATCATGGCATGTTTGTTACTGTAAGGCTTTGTTGACTTGCTTATTATTGCTACAGTGCCTTTTAGTGTTTCAGCTAAGACTAGTGCTCTAAGCACTTGCTTTTCTGAGTGTTATGTACGTGGCTTTTTCATTCTTCTGCCTGTTATGTACCCACATATGAAGTCAGAAAAAAAATATATGGAGATGCAGGGGGTTTAAAATGGGCATTGCCAGAGTTACAGAAGCCAGCTTTTACCTTCTGAGTAAAGAAAGAGATTTTCCTATTTATATTRTTCCATAATATAATAATATGCAGTGCTATGCCATGTATTTTTGGCAGCTTATTTTGGTGGCAATGCTTAAGGAAAGAATACAGGATGAATGGATCCCTGGCATGATGCAGAAAGTGGCTTTCCCTGAACAGCAAGGATGAGGTTAAGTTTATGGTGCTGTTTTGAAATTTCAAGTTGCGTTCACAAGCCATATGCCTGCTACAGATGTCAGAGACCTTTTAATTCTTTTGCCAAAGGGTTTTTTTTTTTTCCTAGCAAGTGTAGTCTTGTGCCAAAGCAGAAATACTCATGGAACTTGAATCCCCATCTCAGTGATGCAGGAAATGAGGAGGATATCATGTGGATGCTACATTTCACTGTCAGTCAAATCACTAGCAGAGGAGAGGCTCAGTTCACTGCTGGATGCAGTCATCCTTGCCAGCTCTCTGGAGACCTTCACACCCACCTTGACACACAAAAGCTTCACTGATGTCTCACTCATTACCTCATCTACAACTGAAAGAATCCTGGGTCCATTAGGGCAAGCTGTACAGGAATATAGGATTGCAAGATGACATGAATTCTGTGTACTGCTAATTGAAGTATTGTTTAAAGCTGGTGTGGTTAAATTGATACAGAACCCGAGGTGGGCATCATTATGTTTGTTAGAAGTGAATCTTTTGGGATTTCTAGGAGAAATTTTTGAATGGACTTTAGTTAATACTAGACCTTCTCTCTGTATATCCAAGACATGTATATGTTCATTTATATGTATGGATTCAGGCAGTTCTCTGTTATTTTAGTTCTTGCACATCTTCTTTCATTTTAGTGAAAACACCTCTTCATAACAGATTCAGTTCAGCAGAGCTGGAATCCTGAGCTCCTAGGTCAACAGACCAGGTCTCTACCTTGTGCAGTGAAAAATACTTGAAAGTAAGAGTCTATTGTGCTTCATAAAGGGCAGTTGTAAGAAGGAGAATGTGACTCCTACAATTGTACGGGTGTTACTAGACAACACTAGAATTCCAGGAACTGGACTTCTGGGCTGTGGAGAGGCACAGATCCCCATGGTTACAGACAAAGAGCAGTGCCCTAACTTTGACATCTTTGTTCCAGAAGATGTGGTGAAGTGGCCTTCACATTGTTGTATTATAGTCAAGGGTTTGTTTCCAAACAGAAATGACCTTGTGAAATCTCAGGCTGTTGCAGGTATGAAACAAAGAGATTCTGTTTACCTGCTACACAAGGCAGCACCTTTGGTCAGTTTAAAAAAAAAATCTTCTGAAATATTAAATACTATGACTTATAAAAATCAGTTGAAGGCTCCATGTGAAATCTGCATTCTTTGGTCCAGTTGTCTTCCCAATTATGTTTTAGTTCTGTATTGTGTATATTTTACCTTGAGATTTATTTTGAGTATGCAAGATAGGAAATTATCAGAACTTGGAAAAACATAATTCTTGGGGACACTGTGAGGTGCATTATTTAATGCAGACAAAGGAAAAGTAGAACTTAAACTACATTTAGTGAAAATGGAAGGTTTGAGACTTTAGGAGCAAACAATAATAAACTATAAGCGAATAGATGTTTTTAAAGATTTAAATCTCAGCCACAGGTGCATGTGTCTCTGCAAGGATGACAAAAATAGTTTCTGACACGAAGATTYTGTCCCTGCTAAATTTCAAATTCCTGTTCCAAAACACAGAACATAAACATCCCACCAAAATAGCAGGAAAAAATTGGTGATCATTAACTAGTATTTTCCTTTCAATTCTTGTTCGAATCTAGTGAGACATGAAGCAGTTTAGAAGCTTGAAAATTTCCAGCTTTAAGGACTGAGAGGTAGACTTCCCATGATCCTTTGAGCTATATTCCAGAAACTTTCTGCTTTTCTTGGAAAAGTGCTGTTTTGAAGTGGTTSTCTTCTAGCATTAAAAAATGAATTCTTACTATGGCCAGACCCTCAGCTGATACACAGATGTATTTAATTTTGTTTGCCTGATTAGAACAGTGGTCAGTTTAGAGCTGCCTATCTGACTTAGAATTACTGTTGCGCGACATTTAGAGAAATGTTTGTTGAGGGGAACATTTTATGGAAACCTGACCTCAACAAACCATGGAAGGACCAATGGTGTGGCCTTTCCCTGGGACACAGGAGGCAGTTTCAGACTGAAGGCTACAGCGTGTATATAGGGCAGCCTTGGGGCATTCCTCACGTACAAAGATGTAAGTCAGTAGTACTTACACCCAATGAGTCTGATCTTTCACTCCTTTTGGCTTGTAAATTAATTTAAATCTACACAGACTCCATTCAAAATACTGTTACTGTGGGACTAGCCATACCAGTGGTTATTTCCACTGAACAGAAAAGCATTGCAACATTATTAAATAGCTCTTGAGTATGAATTCATCCAAGAAGTAGGTTATTGGAATAAAGTCTATTTTATTAGTGCCTTAGGACACTCAGCCAAAACCCAGTGCCCCTGAGCACTATTCAGGCACATAATGTGAAACAGCCTCTACCTCAGAAATTTGTAACCAGATTAGACAAAGCAGTCAAATAAAAGAAATAGAGAAATTGAGACAGGAAGGGGCAAAATGGGTCCTCTGCTGGGAGTGTGTAGCTAGGCAATAGCATAGGTAGTTTTCTTTTAAAAAGTAAAAATGAAAAAGTGCAGCAATGTAAATGAGAATTTGTTAACAACAAAGCCCAGAATCTGCACCTCCGGAAAGAAAGGGAAAATAATTTATCCACCCACACTCACTTTTTTCTGACGAAGGCAGGTGAATAAAGCTGCACTAATAGAGTATGACGCTCACAATCCTGAGCTGCGCTTGCTGAGGCAGAACGGAGAGGTAACAATCGTCTCCAGSAAAACAATAGCCCTGCAGCCCCCGCAGTGCCTGCAGGGTCACATCCCATTCATCCCCTGCACATGTCGTTTTCACGTGAAGGTTGTTCCCGTCCAGCTGGTATGGAGTCCATGGATGAAGCTGAAGGACGGCAAGGAGAGCTGAACAGGAAGGAGCAGTCCCTGAAAGCCTCCCAGAAAACAGCAGTGTTCGGTTGGCCTCCGTGGCGGAATGGATTAATACCTGGAGACAACATGTATCTGTTTGTCCTCTCACAGATACTGGTAAGGCAGCTTGCCATAGCTTTGGAATGCTGGAACCTTTTTTTAAGCTGCGTTGGTTTGGGAGGTTTCCTCTTTATTGACTCTAGACATAGCATGGGGAATAGACGCAGTCCTTTCATTTCTGCAGGCRCCTCTCACAGCTTTGCATTGAGAACAGCCCCTGAACTGATGTCCCTGACTCCTATTCCATTTCCTGCCTCTCAGCAAAATGACCAATATCCCACCAAATCTTTTCTCTTTGCATGGGGGCAAAGACCTATGTTGTTAACACAGGGAGAAGAGGTGTATCCTTTAAAGTTGTGATGTGCACTTCACAGTCATGGATGAGGTTATACCTCTCTGTGAGTGTGTTATATTAAAAAAAAAGTTGGTTTGTAGTTTGTTAACTGTGGCACGTGCAGCACCCTTAAGCAGTTCAAATGAAGTTTCCATTTGTGTACGTTTGTGTGTGTGTGTATTTATAGTAATGCCTATGCGAAACATGGCTATTTGAGAGAGTTTTGAGAGAGGCCTTAATTTGTATTAACATCCTAAGCCATGGAATTACTAGTTTTGATCTACAAGTAACAATTCTGGAAGTTCAGAAGTCAGAAGAACCTGTTGCTCTTTTGATGTTGCTCCAAGTGCTCTTTCTGGGCAGCCTGTTTGCTAGTGAGGGTCAGAGTGAGCCTGTGTAACTCAGTGATGCACATCTGTTCCAGAGTGGCTGAGCACAGACCCTGCAGTCTTTTTATCCCTGTTAAGCTGCTAGAAAATACCTGACTCCTTAAAGCAAAAGGGATAATCAACATGAAATCAATGCTAACTAAATTAGTTAATTATGCAGTCTTGAAAGGAAAATGAATGTTTGTATAATGAGAGATGCTAATTACGTCTTTTCTGATTGATTGCACAGCTTCTCTGCATGATGCTGTGGTACAGCACTTACGGGACCATCCCGGCAGCTCAGAATGCTTTTGACCTGCTCTCTTACTTGCTTACCCCATTTAAACAGGTTTTTTCAGACCAAGGGGAGGTAAGTCCCTGTGCTCCTCTCTGATTATGTAGTTGATGTCAGTTGCTTTGGGGGGCACCTCTAGTATATCTTCTGATTAAAAGTATAATACGTGTGTATTTCATGAATTATAGTGTTGTATGTCCCGAAATAGAAAAAGAGTTTTCTGAAAATGAATGAATATTTTATCATTCTCATATTGGGCTGTTTTTTGGCTATGATGTTAGGTCGGCACATCAGATTTTTCATTATGTGCAAATTATTGCAAATTAAACAAAGCAATAAGTCAGTCCCATTAAGGATTAGCCAGTAGTAAAGGGAGAGTTGGAACTTTATTTCTTAGGATGAATAGAARGTTAAATTATGGAAGAATGGATCAAGCCACATAAAAGGTGCAAATCACACCATAGTTAGTCACAAAAATCTATTTTTGTTGAGTGTTTAGAACATATCCGTGTGCAGTAAATGTATTTCAAGTGTACTAGGTGCAGAGATTCAATTATATCWACAGAGCTACCCCAGTAAAACTGCTTAGCTTCTCACCATGACATGAGGACATGTATACCAGAATGATTCATCTGATAAATTACTGGTAATTATATCCGGCACAGATTTTTCTAGTGTGGACAGAACCTTAATTAAGTAGTGAACAGCTACTTTCAAAAATCAGATTAAATGTATTTGCTATCAGAATGCTTAGATCCATTGTACATAATTTTGAGGCAGAGGCTTTGTGGTGCCAATAGAAAATCTGATTCAGTGCCTCACAAGATTGAAGTACAGTGGAAAATGTTTTCTGTTTTCTYGTACTAATGTTTATGAGCTGCATGTCACCTGCTCTTTTGGGGTTTTTTGAAAGAAGCACTTTTTCTTTGCCCTTTTGCAGTTGGCTTTATTATGCACAGAGCTCTTCACAGACTAGTGCCTGTGTCTTATTTGCAGTGGCTCAATCATTAAAAAATTGTTGTTCCTTACAGAAAATCACTGATTTGTGTATTTTAACTTACAATAATTGTCCTTCATGGAAGAAACTGGTTCCTAGAATGCACCACAAGAACACTCCAAGCATGACTCGGTGCAGATGTTCATGCATATGTTTGAGGACTGTTTATTATAGAACTATTTATTGTGCAAATTTACACTTGAAAACAGTACAGGCAAAGAAATCTTCTGATGTTAAAATAAGCAAATGAAAGYTCAACTCCAAATTTCTCATTAGCTGTGCTAGCGGGAAGAAAAACAGTAAAATTCCCTGCTCACCGAAGCCCATTAGAACTGAGTTTTGAACCTACTACTGAGAACAGGCTGAACTATAGACTACTATAAAATGATTAAGGCATCAGAATTAATTTCCCTGCCAGTAGTGTGAATTAACCTGATGGTGTTTAACAGAATGCGTAGAAAACACAGAAAACTCCTCTGTGGCTGGATTTTATTTAAGGATCCCCAAACCCAGGAACAGTACTAAACTTTTAAAGCCTTTTGCCACAGTATAAAATCACACTGACTGCAGCAATGAAGCRTTGGTCTAGTCTGCAAAATTGAATCGTGGATTCAGATCTCAACTTCGGCAATGTGTTAGGATAGGAAGCGGAATTCCTGTTTGCCTTCACAGTGAAATCTGGTGTTTAGACCTTCTGAGATGCTGGGGGTTAGAGACGGATTCAGTTTCAGTCTTCTCCAAAGCCTGGCATTTTTTTGGTGGTAATGGCAGCTTTTCCCCTGGTGAGTATGATTTGAGTAAATCTTTATGGGAAATAATACACACTTGGCTAAGAAAGTGCATGCAGACACTGTGCTGTGCCCCTAAATACTTAATGAATCATTGTCTATTGTGTTGTCTCACAGAGCCTGACTACAGTTGGGAGTGTTGTGGTATCATACATCCTGCTGTCTTTGGCTTCTCTAGGACTGCTATTTTTAGGATCTCTGGTAAGTTAGGATACAACACAAACTGTATTCAAGCCCTTTTTCAGTGAGTTTTTATAAGATGTTTGATTTATCCAAAGTTGTTGGTGTTATGCCCAAACTGATTGTAAAGCATCATTTTTGGGGCTGTTTCTGTCTAATTATCTGCTTACAATATATAGAGAAATCAACTTTACTAAATTTCTTGATGGATTGAGGATTACACTGTTGGGCATCCATCCAGAGATGGGCAAACTGTTTGCACTTACATAGAAGGGATGTTGTCCAGCAACAGGACCATCATCCATTCATTTCAGTGGCAGAAGGCACTGTTCCAGAGAGCCAGTGTACTTCTGAATGTGAAGTCCTCTTAGACGTAGGCCAAGGCCCCAGTGCATAACAAGCTTAAATGGTATAACTACAATTAATCTAGTTAGCTGTCAGTTTTGAGGAGCAGGAGTGTGTTGTGTTTCTCCATAGATTGTGTAACTGGCACAAAGTTGTGTGGTAGATGGCAGAGCTATGGAGAGCTCTTTCTTGTTAGGGAGCTTGAACTGAATGTGGCTTTTCATACCCCTCAACACTGTTCAATTAGAGTGGAATGCAGTTACTGCCCATGCAGAGACAGAGCATCACCTCCTGTCCTTACAGAGGTGAACCCCAGGTAGCTCAGGAAGTTGAAGCTGTGCTAGGTACATGCTGTTTGAGTGATGCACAGTATAATGAAGTATATTCTAGAATCATGGGACTGTAGGTGGGAAGAGATTGCTGGTCTAACATCCTTCGTGGAGCAGGGCACTTGCTAATGCTTGGCTAGGTCAGCCATGAATTTTTCTACAGAGGGTTTGAAAACCTTTAGGGAAGGAGATGTATCATATCTCTGTGTGCCTGTGCCACAGCTGTGTGGCACTTTTGGGGAAGAGCTTTTTCCTAGTGTCTGATCTGAATTTCACAAATCTAAATGTTTGAGCTGAAGTTCTGCAGGCTTGTGGCCACTGTCCCTTGTGGTATCAGCTGAGAGTACCAAGCAGTGATTGGCTGCATGTCTGGAGCTGCCCTTCAAGTAGTTGCAGGCCACTGTTAYATCACTCTGCCCTTCTCTTTGCTGGGCTGAACAAGCCCAGTTTCTTCCACCTTTTTCTTGTGCTCTAGACCACTGACCTCCTTTGCAACCCTCTGCTGGGACTACTCCAGTTTTTCCATACCTGTCTTAAACTGGAGGAACTAAATTTGTAGACAGTATTCAGGGTGCAGCTGCATGAGTTCCAAGGAGAGGGGAAGACCCTTTTTGATTTGCTGTCCACACTCCCTGCTAGGAAGTAATGTCATATTGTATGCCATTAAGTTCAGTTAAGTTCACTCAGAGGCAGCACAGTGACAAAATCTTCTGTTTAACGTGTCAGGCAAATGTACTTTCTAAAAACCATTCACAAGGCAAAGCAATTATAGTTAATGCCTCCATTATTGTGATCATTGATGTAGGCAAGGAAGTTAGTCAGGTTTATGCAATCTTCTGCTTTTATGATGCATCTGTACCTTATCCAGATTAATTTTGTCCTCAAAAATAAACTTCTGGTGATTACTGTAATTGTGAATACTAAAGAAAAAAAAAAAAAAAGAGCCATCTAAGAATTTTCCAGGTAATCATGCAGCAAAGTGTTCTGGGCTGAAAATCTGAATAGCAGGACTGTGATTTTTTTTTGCATATTCAATTATTTCTCAGCGAATGAAAACATTTATTGCTGCCCTGTTCTTAGCACAGAAGGTAAAGTTAAGTGAAAGCTCTCTGTGGCCAAAAATTCTGATCTCTATTTGAAGAGCTTTGCATGTGAACTCCTTGCAAGGATTTTAAGCCATGTGCTGCCTAGAAGAGAACTTGAAGGGAGCTTTTACTTTGAGGATTGCCTTTATGACCAAATCTTTCTTTCTCAATGTTAAAATTTACACTGTCCTGCATGACATCCTAGTGTGCTTTAGTAGCCTAGGAAGAGAAATTTGACCCTTTTTAGTGGAACTTTTCTAAACTCAGTTGGCCTTTTAAAAGCCCTGTAAGAACAGCACAGAAGATGCTCTGCTGTAGAAAATAAGACCTGTTCTTAGTCTCAAAAGGAGGCATGACAGTGCAGTGCAGCCTGAGTGATGCTGCTCCTAGTTCAATGCTAGATGGATGGAGTTGGCATAAGGTTCCAGGTCCTGGAATTCAGAGGAGGGCTTGAAATTTTTAACTGAAGTCTGTGTGGAGGTTTTAAAGTCTACTGCTCTGATTCCCAAATCACCTAGTCTAGCACAGCATCTGTGCAAACTGATACAATGCAGAAATTTTTTAGATTCATGCAATTTCAAACCTTTCCTTAATTTGTAATATAAACTTAGGTATTGCATTTGTGTCCTAAAGCTTCACAGAATTCATTATTTTATTTGAATACCATATTTAAATCAGATAGTTAGATTATAGCACAGCCTTTCCCCTTGGCCAAAAAGTGATATGGGCATTTTGAGCCTCAGGATCAGATCAGAAAATTTAGGCCTCTTTAAAAAATTATGGGTTCATATRTAAATTTGTGGTACAGTGCCAGGGTTATTAAAGATGTTCAGCTCAATTATATGTACTTAAGATAGCYATATGTAAATTTCAGATGGAAAGCCATTACATCAGGAGCTATATGCTTTGTAGAGTACAATAATTGATTTTTACTTTGTAAACAAGCCTAGGAAGGATAAGATACTGAATGAAAGGACAGTGGCATCATGTTGGCCTGCATATGATGGTCACAAGCACATTCCACTTCTACTGTATCCCAGAGTTAAGCCTAGCCAGTTCTGTGGMAACCTCTGTGGCTGAAAGCAGGTTTGAATGGGTAGATGTGAATCCATGTAACACGCACCACAAAGCCATTCCTGCATGGAATGTTCCTGTTCTCTTCAGTACTCTCCAATTGTAATTCAGAGAGCTGAGATACTGCCCCAAAGGCCCATGCCCTGGGCTGTATGGAAGAGCTGGCTACAAGCAGAAAGCTTCTTTAAACATTTGTTTCCTCCAGATTTGGCATCTACTCAGAGCCCAACCAGACCCCCCCTTTCCGCTGCAAGAGGACAGACGCCAATCTGTGAGCAGGCAGCCTTCCTTCACGTACTCAGAGTGGACAGAGGATAAAAATGAGGACGACTTCCTAGATTTGGATCCTGTGCCAGAGACTCCAGTCTTTGACTGCGTAATGGACATTAAAGCAGAGACAGACCCAGCTACTCTGACCGTTAAATCCGTGGGCTTGCAAGAAAGGTAGGGTAAATGTGACTAAAGGGAAAGTCTGGTTCCAGATGTTGTGGATTTAGGAGTTCTGTGCCCAGTAGGAAGTGCTATTGCCTTTGTGAATGTCACTTTAGAACATGGTTTTAAAGTCAAGCACCTACTTTATTTCCTGTCCTGTTTACTTTCCAGTCAAAAATAGAAACATGTTAGCTAAACAACACAGTTTCTGGACAGCTGTCAACAAGTGCTATTCTAAAGTGTAATTTCCTTCCATTGAATACATCCATTTGTGTTTGATCAGTCTCTCACCATTCATCAAGGCAGCAACTGCATAGCATGAAATCCACTAAAGGGTGGTGAAAGCTTTTACCTCTGAAAAAGGTCTTGTTGATTTTTTCTTTTTTCCCCATGTCACACATGCTGGAGGACTAGAAAAAGAGGTAGCCCTCAGTATTTCTCACATAAATGAGTCAATCCAGAAGAAAATGAATTTGATTCAAATGAACCCAGTAATGAAACTTTGGGGTGAGCTGTTGTTCACGGCTTGAACCATGAGGGCAACTCAAAAAGAGGAATTTCTCAGGCAAGTCAGGAGCATCTCAGAGACATTCACAGCYAGGAAAGGGCAGTTTCAAGATAAAAGGATTTTTTTTTCTTTTGGGTCCTTTCAGTTGTCTTAGTGAAATAGAGCAGAGATCTTGATGATAGAATTCCTGTGAAGAAATTCTGCAAAAGTGATGATGTTATGAATAAGAATGAAGTTATACTGACGGGCCCAGCATCACAAAGTATCACCTTTCTTTATTTCTCAGTTTTCAGGCTTAATTGGAGTGCTAACCATAGTTAATTCTCATCTCTAAAGTTAAAAAATAAAAGGCCAGAACTTAGATTTTAAGAATATGATGCTGACTTTCCAAAGCCCCCCAGGACACAGTAAAGTGGGATCTAACAGAAGAGGCTTTCAATTTGCACTCTGTGAGCTTAGAATCTTTTTTCTCACTTTATGGTTTGTTACAACATTGTCCTAAAATTTTATATCTTTTATTGTTTTATTCTGCCTTTATATGAGACCACAGTAACCTCTGGGGCTTGTCCCTGAAGCTGCAGCTATCAGGGAGTTTTGTTGTTTTTTCATTAAAGGCAGGATTGGGCTTGAAATATCTGAGTCATTTGTGTTCTTCATTWTCCCTGATTCCTTCAATTTCTGTCATTTTAAAGATGTGATATTTCTCCTCAGGTGATTTCTAGCCTGCAGGAAAGACACTCATTGTATCAAGAGAWTTGGGGAATATTGACTGGGGCGTATCACTTGGGGAATAATCAGTTGGTTAAAGTAATGAATTACAGTGAAAAACCTGTCAAATATCTGGGAGAAGGAAAGCAATTGCTTGACGTTTTCAAACTAGGTCCAATCTGTACACTTAAGAGATAAACTTGTTTTCAACATACACGTGTCCTTGAGAAGACAGACATCATTTCTGGTTTGAGCTGTGACCTGACAAATTGCATGTGCATTAAGCATTGGTGACTTTTCCTTTGTTTGGTGTTGTGTTAAATTACCCACCTGTGCCTCTTTGGCATCCATTCTGCTTCTCTGACTTCCCTCTCATTCTTTAACCACCTACACTATTAGAAGCATGGTCAAACACCACTGAGATTTGCTGAAGAAGAAATAATCTCATTTCTTCCTGCTGATGAGCTATTAATACAGGTAGCCTCTTCCGCCTTGAAAGAACCAAAAGCATTCATTGTCAAATGCATCTATTTTGGGGGAGAAATGTGGTAGCTTTTTAATAGCACAAAGGAGGGTAAGGTCAAAATCATTTGAAAGGAGTCACTAAAGATTCCGTGCTGGTGGCATTTCCCMGTGACTCTGAATTGTAGCAGACCAGCTGCAAATTCTTTTGGACAAACTCCTGAAACCAGGAAAGGGCTGTGATCTAAATAATGACTTGTGTCCTCTCTGTGAGCTAATCATGCCTGCAGGCTTGCATGGCTTTTAATAGCTCTTGCACACACCTTCTAACTAGATTTTTTGGGTTGAGATTCGTCAGAAATAGGTTTACTGTGTGGATGTATAGAACCTTTACCTAGTAATCATCATATTGTGTGACTTTATTATTATGTTAAAGATATTTAAATATAGATTTGCTGATGGCTTTTGAATCTTGCTTTTGTCTATCATATGTGAGATTACCAGTTCTGTCTCCATCAGAACCAGCTGGGTGCCTTTCTGAAGCTGTTAATCTGTCATTGCCGACAATAATGGGGTGTTGTAACCAAACCTCGACCACTCTGTTTTGCAGGAGAGGTTCAAATGTTTCACTCACACTGGATATGTGCACCCCGGGCTGTTCTGAGCAAGGCTTTGGCTATGTCATGTCCCCACGGGAGCAGTCAGCCCGGGAGTACCTCCAGACGGCATCGAACATCCTCACTGAGGAAGAGCTGCACAAGAAAGCGCTGGATCCTTTCATACTCCAGGCAGAGTTCTTTGTGAGTGCCTGACCTCTCTCTTCCCGGAGCATCATTAAAAATGGGAGGTTGTCTTTCTGTAGAAGACCTTGCTATTATTTTCTGCCAGTCTAAAAGTATTATATGCAAACTCTCCTTCTGTAAGTGAAGCATTTAATGAAATTCCCAAATTTGTCATCCCTTGAAATTACTGTGTCTGAAAGCTTTCACTGGTATTGTCACTTTAAAACTAGAGAATTGGTTCTGGCAACAACAACAACAACATATCTTTGTTTTCACAAGACATTTGGTTTTTTATGTGYTGACATATATTCTTTTTTTAACAAAAATCGCTACAGTACAGAAGAAAAGCCACATTTGCTCTAGACGTAACTTCTTGAAATGTGTCTGGAGCTGCCCTAGGGATGAAATTAGTCCTAATCCACCCTCTTTGCTGTTGAATGCTTAACGTGGAGCTACTTTCCAAATGCAAATTCTCTGGTTACCTGAAACACAGTTTGGCTCTGTCATTCAGCAGAAGCTATAGAAAGTATGTCTTACTGTTTGTTTTTTTTCTGCACAAAAATAATTTACTAGTTGTAAGCTTTTCTGTCAGTTGCTCTTAGGATTCTGAAAATGTTTCCTTGGCTCACTGTATCTACTAATACTTTGGCAGAAAGATCCTTTGCCTCATTTTGGAAAAATATACTTGTAGAGATGAAGCAAGGAGTTGCAAATTGGATTTCTAAGTAGTTTATTATAAAGGTCAGATACGTTTTAGTGTAGYGAGTACCCTGACTTTTTAGATCTTTCATGCTATTGAGTCTGTTCCCTAACTGGTTGAGTGTCCATGTGCTAGGTATTGTCATGTTTGTCATATTTATTATATCTGACAAAAAAGTAGTATGCAAAATGCTGCAGTGGCTGCATTATGTGTATTAGTCAGGGCTGTAAATTCCTGCTCAAGATGGGAGGTAACCAGGGCACACGGTTTGCATGCTGAGGTGTTGCAGGGCATGTGATCAGCAGCTACTGAAGTTAATACTGCCACATCAAATATTCTCTTAAGCATGAAATCTCAGCAGAGCAGGAGGAAGATTATGCTTTGCAACATTACAGCCCTTTCAGCCTGTCCTCTTCATGACCTCTAAGTGTCTGAAAGGGAAGGACTAACACTCTAATTACCACTTGCTGTCCTTCCTCCTTGTGCAGTTTCAGAGGGTTTTTTTCTCACTTTACAAGAACAGGGGGATAGTCTGGGCTTCTGTTTTAAAACACAGCACAAGGGGTCTGTGGTGCTTAATTCACTTAGTTCTGCACAAGTTTAAGGGAAGCAGCTTTTGTGTAGGCTAAGTCCTGATTCTTTTAAAGTAAAGCATCTACTGTTCTTTTAAGGAGGGAGTGTTCATTTGGTGTCTGAACTCACTGCTAAACTAGTCCATATTCAGTTTCATCAGTCTTTGGGCTACACTGTGGCTTTCAAGGAAAGTAAATAATGTTAGAAGCAGAAAAAAAAACATGCTTCATTTCTCTGAGAGATTTTGAATTAGGTTTCCTGGTGTTCATAGAATTATTCAGCAGCCAAACCATCCCAAGCTATTTTCATTCTTTAATGAAAACTGAAAGAGCACAAAATGCTGTGCAATCAAAATGTCATTTCCATAATTAAAAATTGTGAACTAGTTATCACCAGCTAGCTCTTCATCGTGTTTTTTCACTCTGTCTAGCCTCAGTTTTCAAAGTCCAGATCCCAGATGAAGCAAGCAGCTATTTCATTTTGTAAAAAAAAGAGCCAGAAAGGACATTTGCAGGGCTAAATCCTGAAATTCTTACAAGATTTAGAGTTTTTACTCAGACAGTAGTCCTGTTGATTTCACCAAGAATTGGCTAGCACAGTGAATGACTTAAGACCCAAAAACAGCTCACGGAGCTTGGCTCAGGAAGAGTTTGGRTTGACTAAATACCAAGGAATAATTGAGAAAAATATGAAGGTTTTGTTCCTATACAGTTCTCCAAGTTGATAGGAAATCTCTTCAACAAAATGTTTTCATCAKTTATTGCCTCTGGTTAAGGCCAACAGTATTCTCAGTGCTTTGTAAGAGACAGAGTGGAGATAGTCCCCTAAAGTTCCAGAACTGACCTCATGTTGTACCAGGGCAGGTTTAGATTGGATATTTGGAAAAAGTTATTCACTGAAATGGTGAAGCAGTATAACAGGCTGGCCAAGGAAGTGGTGGAATCACTATTCCTGAAAGTGTTCACAAACATGTGGATGTGGCACTTGCATGGCTTAGCAGTGAACACAGAGGTGTAGGTGATCTCAGTGATCATTTTCAAGAGGTTATTTTCAGCCCTAATGATTCCATGTTTCTACAGTCCATACTTTTAGTTTTTTTCTAGTGTGAGGCTTGTCTTACTCAACCCTGATTCCTGTTTTCTGTCCAGTGGTGGTCTCTCAAATCCAGTGTGCAGCAGCTGGGATGACCAGCTCTGCCTCATGTTCCCATGGGCCATATAACTCTGCTGAGCCTGGTTAACACATCCCTTCTCTTCTGCCTACTAACTCCAGCTGGCAGAAGGTTCCTCTTTGTTCCTGCCTGGCGTTGGCCATTTATGCAGGGGATGAGCAGTGAAGAATAGGAAGCCACTCCATCTCTGTGTGTTGTTTGCATCCGCAATGCAGAGAGCAAGGAAATCCCYGAATACCACTGCTGTCCTTTTCCATGGAGTTTGACAGCGCGATGAGCAAAGCAGTGACGCTCCCCCAGCTCCATGGAGTCAGGTCAGCACGCCAGTGTGTCATAGCATGTGTCATACTTTGTTGCTGGAGCAAGTCCCTAGCAAATTATTAACTTCCACCCTCAGAGAGGAAGCAATGTGAGTCAGAAAGGATGGTGCTGAGGTCCAGCCTTTTGGAAGTGTCTTGCGTACCACCTCTTGCATCGCTCTGTGCCTACACTTGCAAGGAGTGAGCATGTCATGCGTGTTACTCAATGAATTAGTCACTAGGAACGTTTTCACATGAAGGATTTCAGAAAAGAAAGCCGGTGACAGTAAAAGGAAACATCAATCATATTTTGGTGGTAAGTTGCTAGAAGTACTGTACAGTATGTCCCAGCTGAYTTCATCACTTTGCCTCCCTCACAAGGAGGTCATAATAGGCTTGGGGTTTTTATTCCTCCTGTGAGTCTAGTAATACTACCTTATGTCTCTTATTTTTTTCATGGGTTTTTGTTTTTCTTTTTTTTTTAACAGGAAATCCCAATGAACTTTGTTGATCCAAAGGAATATGATATTCCAGGCTTAGTGCGTAAGAATCGCTACAAAACAATTCTCCCAAGTAAGTTTCTTTTTTTTGAGTCACTGGGGCAGAGTGGTTTATTCCGCATGCTGGAGGGCTTTGCATTTTCCTTTCCAGAATGCATGAAATGTACTGTCACCACAACATATTGCCCAAAAGCCGTGTTTATGGAGCAGCAGTATGTCTCCAAAGCATAAATCAAATTTCCAAAGAGTTGCAGAGCATGAAGAACCAAAATGCTGCTGATCCTCAGGGAAACGTAGGTTTTTAAGTTAGTAGAACTGCATCATTTGGTGCTGCCTGAAAGTTGTACATAAGAACTTGATGTGTTTATTCAGATGTTACTTAGTAATTTCTTTGATTAAATTACTTTTGAAAGACTAAATTTTAGCAACGTTTTTTCCCAGACTGGTATTTGTTCAAATGCAGACTATTAGGAACTGGCCTGATGGCATTAAGATGACACATGAAAGAAAAGTATTTTTCTTTTCTATTGCACTAGTTTTATTTGAAGGCAGGAGTGGGAGTTTTGAGAAACATTTTGGTACAAATTTTTACAAGTGTCATCATTTTTCCCTCTCTCATAGTTTAAGATGCTTTGAAAAGTGATATGACTGGATGTCATGCTCTAAGCTGTTGGAAGATGGAACCACTATCCACAGTAGTGTTTTGCAAAATCCTAAAGGTTCCATGTCAGGTTAGCAAATAGAAGTGCAGTGAAGTCAAAACTGTCCTCCGCCATACCTAACAGTCAATGAATCTGGATTGGAAATGGTTTCAAAAGAGAATTTTTTTAATGTGTTTAAACTCCAGCAGCCCAGCCCAATGTGTGCAACTCTCCTGATGACTTTGTACTCCACCTCAGACCAGAAGTGTAAAAYCATTTAACCTCCCTTCATTTTGGCTATGCTAATGACTGAGGTGATKCCCTCAAGTATTAATTCACTGTTTTTTCTGGAACAGGAGGATTGCAAAAGGGGATATTGATTTCAGATGCCCAAGGTGCCAGATCTCTAAGTGATCTGTATATTTTGAATTCAGTATCTGTTCATCTCAGCCTTATAGATATCTGCTAGTGGCCATGGTTGTCATTTTGACCTCTTCATCTCAGATAAATGGTTTCTGCCCAACCATCTCTCTAAGGGTTAAAAACCTTATTCTGGCCTTATTATGATCTGAGTATTTTTTTCTGAATGAACTTTCAGCACCTTGGTCCCTAGCTGTGGCCTCAGGATGGCTTGATACTGCTGAACAAGGGAGACGGCTGAGTGTTCACTCTTCTCCCACTGCCTCCATTGTGAGGGCTTGGTGGCAGTGATAAAGAGGGGTAGCAAGGAGAGCTAAACATTGTCTTTATACTTCAAAGCCAAGCATCCCAGTAAGCATGAATCTCGTCTGTCTGAGGACTGCATTTCATGCTGAGTCTGCATTTGTAGTACCGTAAAAATTATTGTGTGCTTAGTCCTTAATATGGTATCAGATAAAGCACAGTAGATTTTATTTTATTCTGCTTTCTAAGCCAGTTGAATTATTTTACGAAAAAGGCATCTGTGGTTTACTTTTAATGAGATCTTGGTCATATAGACTGTTGCTGTTTGCTGAGGCCTGTGTCAGGAGAACGTTTCCTGTCAATGGTAACAAACTCGGTAGCCCTGGTCAAAGTGGATGAACATGGGCATGTGTCCGTTCCCATGAAAATCAGTTAAACAGCCATTGACTTCAGTGGGAATTGGACTRAACTTCTTAAGTGAAATAATGTTTTCTTTTGTCATCTTATTAGAACAAGAATAATGCTTCATAAACAGCCTCAATGAAGGAGACTCAAGTACTGAAGAGACTTAAAATGCAAGAGACTGTTAATGTTCTTTAATTTCTTGATAACCATTATATTTGCTAATAGCACATCTTGGAGTTCTGTTCATTGCAAGATGGAACAGGGAAAGAGTTACTGTGGCTTGCCTGGATGCAAGAAATGCATGTTTATGTTTTGGGAGAAAAGCTGTTTGCTGCCATTTCACAAACAATATTCTAATGTGTTTGAAGCCAGAATGAGTCTGTTGACCTAACAGATTGAGAAATAATTTCCTGAAGCAGAAAGCTGCTTTTCCAGTGTCATGCTGAGAAACTGACTCTGCAACATGACCAATTAAGGCAGGCTTCAGAGAGTGGGTGAAACTGTCAGAAGGCTGCAAATTATCCCAACAATCCTTAYCTTTTTTTAATGTTAACTCTTTGATATGGGGGTTTTCCAAGGCCACTCACATCTGTTGTGATGGCCACCAATGCATGTAAATGTCTCACTGTACCAAATCATCTTSAGTGTCTCTTTCCTCTGAGCAACTGATAAACTATTCCTTATCTCTTTGCACCTTTCAGATCCTCACAGCAGAGTGTGCCTTACCTCAGCTGATCAGGACGATCCCCTCAGCTCTTACATCAATGCTAATTACATCAGGGTAAGAGCTCCATAGCCCAATGTGTCTGCCCAGACTCTGTCAGCCACTGTTAATGTTAACAGAATTGCAGCAAAYACTGGCTTTAAAGGCATCCCAGCTGATCTGATTGCTCTTCTCTTCTGCTTACATTAGCTGAAACCCAAATCTCAAAGTGCACCTGTACAGATTCAGACCAGACAGAAACATACTTGTGCAGTTCTTGATGCAAATTCCTTGTCAGCTGTCCTAACCAAGGCACTGGATAATCAGCCTGAATAAGACTCATGACCTACTCAGARTCATCTCAAGGCAGTTGGACGCTTTGCTGGAATTATATGAGTCCATACTGTGCCTTCGCTACATGTGCACATGTGAAGGAGAGAGATACAGGAGAACTGGTGCCACAGAGTCAGCATTTCAACCAGGATAGCTCTCTGTTTTAAAGAGCAAACCTTCAAGGTTGTGGGGGACATCCCTGTTAAAACTGATCTCTTGTTGTTTCGTTGGCAGGGCTATGGAGGAGAGGAAAAGGTATATATTGCTACTCAGGGACCGATAGTTAACACTGTCACTGACTTCTGGAGAATGGTGTGGCAGGAGCGTTCTCCCATCATTGTCATGATTACCAATATAGAAGAGATGAATGAGGTAATGATGTTACATCCAGTCTGTATTTTTATCTGTACTCTAGCAGATATTTTCAGCACAGAACTAAGCCAGCAAGCAGAAGTTAGTTCAGTGGCCTGTGCAATCAGAGCCAGCATTAAATTCTTCACTCTCAGAGAAGATGTGGGCTTCTTTTTGAATTCAGTTTATTGTAAGTCCTGTTTTTCTGTCTCACTTCTACTCTTGGTTTTGCCATTTTCATCTCCCAGCTGATCTGAAACCTCTCCTAACCCAGCTTTATTTGCAGGCAGCCTTTGAAGTTCTCTCTGAAGGAAACAATAGTACCCCATAATTACTAAGGTTGAATATCTTTAATCAGTAGAGTTGTTGCTTTTTATCTTGCATTTATTGTGACTTAATGTCTATATGAACGTTTCATTGAGGAAGTACCTGATTTCTGTATGATAACCAACAATAGAACTGATTTGGATATTAGGACCTTTCCCTGAGTGCATCAACGGAATACTTAGAAAATACTGAAATTAAGGTGCTGAAATTTGCTCTTTGCCACCTACTTCCAGAAATTAGACTGCTGTGGTGTTTCTGCTAACTCACCTAAAGTGAGTTCTTTTTTTGCAGTTTATAGTACTGCARCCCTCCAGCTGTTCATTACTTACCTGCTGAAATCTTTCCCCCCATAGCAGAGTTGGAAGAACTTGGTGCCTGGGCTTCAGCTCACAGGCAGGTAGCTGAGCTCACATCTGCCTTTACTGGCAATGTRAGATGCGAGAAAGTGATCTGGGCATGTTTTGGGCTCTGCATCCTCCCTCACCACTAGCAACAAGGTTTAGTGGAGATTTCCAAATGTTGTTTCTTAAGATGCAGCAGAAGTGCATGTCAGGCTTGTCCTTGAGAACAGATTTGTAATTTAGGTGAGAGATTTTCCCTTGGAGAAGAAGCTTTAGACACTCAGAAGCCAAAGAATATGGGCACACATCCAGCATACGGACAGACTTATAATAGCTTATCTGCTAGCTGGAAGCTTAGTGCCCATAAACATGCATGTGCACAAACCTTTAGCTTTTCATAGTTATAAAGTAAATAAATTTAACCTTGACCTTCACTGAAACAGAGACATGAACAAGACTGACACAGAATTATCACTCTTTGCAAATTAAAAATTTTCAGTGATTGCAGCTGGCTCATTGGACACATATTGCCAAGGCACTGCTGATGCACAAGAGAGTATGTTGCTGATATAAATGCTTTGTTTTCACTAATGTTTTAAACTCATGTATCTGAGCAGCAGCAACAATAACTTGCTCATTAATCAAACTTGCCAGTTTCTGGCACATAAGATATTAAAATGTCATAACACAGTGCACCAGAATCTTTTGAGGACTTTGAGTTTTAAAGAAGATGAAGAGGAAATGGTGATCCTGACATATCTGGGGATATGTGCTTCTACTATAATTTTCATAGCAAGACTGTATAACAGGAATGCAAAATAACCTTTATTTCTGAATTGCCCCTTACCTGCCCTGTCCAAGTGTTTCACCCCACTTACCAGTCTTGGGAAGTKCTGATGCACTATATAAATGGAGCTTGCTGCAGTCTGTATACCACAGCAGAGCTGCTGGGTCTTTTCTGATGTATTTTGTGTCAAAAAGTTAATGGCGTCAGGAACCTCAGCCTTAAATACAGGGCTAATTTCATGTAAACATCACGTAAACATTTCTGTTTATCTGCAACACATATATTAATATATTAATATCAAGACTTGAAGTACATAGACTCAAACCCAAAAGTTTTGTTCAGTGATGATGCTGGTAAGAGAGGCTTTGTGTTCCTCCTGAGTGCAACGACTTCACTAATGCGAGTATTAAAAGCTCTGCACCTCATCCCTCTGTCACTTCTAATCTGAACTGACAGACAGCCCACAGAAATGAGTGGGCAATCTTACTCCACTCCTTTAAGCAGAGCAAAGTCTGTGCTATTGATAGCTGGTACCACTCTTGACAAGTTTTACAGTGGATTCTGCAGTTTATGAGTAGAGGAAGAAAAAACACAATCTACATAAATAGCTTTACAGAGACACAGTGGGCCACACTCCCAGTGGGTTATTAACTGATGTACTGTGCAGATGGAACAACATTGATTCTCCCACACAAAAATTTTGCCTCAGTTACTTTGCAAGGTACTTTTCCGTTGTTAGTCTTTCCCCTCAAGTGGAATTACATTTGGTGAGGGAGAGAAAAATGATTCAACTTGTTTCCTTCAAGATTGTGTACAGCTATGTAAAAGAGGAATCTTACAAGCATCATCTTTACTGAGGTTTGTTGAATAGCAGATACCTACTCCCCTGTGATAATGAAATAGCTTCTTGCATTATCACAAGGGAACCTTTTTCTCAAACTCTGCCTCATTCATGTCATTCCTTGTCCATGAACTAATTTGTGCACCATCTTGAGATGCCTGTCTCTGCCTTGGCATATTGATTAGTTTAAAGAAACTGCATGCAAAACCCACAGTCTTTTCTAATCCTCTGTCCAGGATTGGAGTACTTACAAATTTTCACTGGCTCATCTCTAGTGTGTCAGTACCACAAAGTAGATCTGCAAATGGACTATAGTTTCTGTATTTCTAATTGTCAGGTTGTGCTGGCTGCATCTCTTACTGGTTTTTGGCAAAATTAAATGTAGTTTAATCTCTCACAGCTATTGCAGCCTTTTAGTTCCCTAGATTTGAAAGATTCTTGCTGACAATTTTAAGTGAATTTGGGTACATAATCTATTTCCCAAAATATCCCCAGTCATGTTATTTTGTGCAAAAACATATGCAAATGATCATTTTATATTCAGAGAGCATTGAGCCTTTATAAAAAATAAAAAAGCTGTATTTTGTGTTTCTACATCAGTATATATGCAGCACAGATATATTGGTAACTAGTGCATATTATACTAATCATTATTATCTTAAGAAAAGGATTAATCTAAAAGCACAAGCACACTGCCACCAGCCTCTCTAATGAACCTTCAAAATGCACATCAGTTGCATAAAGATAAATAAGGATGTGTGTATTTAAAAGCATTGGTTAGTAATTACTTGATTTGTGCATTTTTAATCAAGCAATCAGACTATTATGGGTGCAGCAAAAATCAGCTGAAATGTGGTCCCTGTTTAGTAAGYGAAAGCTTGTACTTATTTTAGAAACAAATTTATTCATATTTATCTATGCATGCGCTATATTCAATTTCAGACAAGAAAAAATACGAACCTTCCTTGATACCTGCTTAACTGGATTTGTTTCATATTGCACACAGAAATGCACAGAATATTGGCCAGAGGAACAGGTCACCTATGAAGGAATAGAAATCACAGTTAACAGAGTCATACAAGCAGACGATTACCGTTTAAGGCTCATCACCCTCAAGGTAAATCATTCCAATGTAATTACTGTAGCTTATTTATCTAAACCTCTAAGCCTCTAAATGTGGATGTTCAGGGACACTTGTGTAGAGAGTTTCTACAAAGTCCACTGCTGTACAAATACCACCTTTCATTACTGAAGTCATCATAGCTTTGCCCAGCTCACCAGCATGAAGGCTACMGGAAAATAAGCAGTCAGAGGTTTAGGCTGCATGTGTACAGTCTGAAAGCCACCAGGCCAGCTGGAGTAGTGTGGGTTCCTCTGGGTAAGAAACCAGTGACTCATTCTGTGCCTTTGTCCTCGGGGTTCATTGATCATTTAGAATGAAATGTCAGCTTGCAGGGAGCTTCTTTGCAAGTGTGGTTTTATAYACAAGTAACTATTCTATCATCTTGTGGATTGAAAGTTTTAGCATAGGTTTAATTTTTTAAGTTATTTGATACTACTTAATCTAAAGTACCAGAGTCCTATTTTACAACTCTTCAATCCTAGGTTCTAGAATATCAAGTTACATGTTTTAATAATTAATTGTCTGTTTGCATAAACTTTATATATCTTTGATCTGCTAGATCTACCCTGACCTCCGCATAACATGACAATTTTTTTCCAAGCTGAAGAAACTCTCCTTTTATCCAACCAGTTTCAAGTCTCTTCAGCCATATGCTTATAGGCAGAAAGCCAGCATATGACATCCCATGTCTGGATTCAGGGTGTAGAAAGTCTGTCACTCACACTTTTGGCAAAGGCATCAAGGGGAAAATCACACTCCCTGACAAGTGGGAAGTGAAGAATATTTACATGTTGCAGACTTGCAGCTCATCTGGTTTTGCTTTTCAATTAAACAATGGTTTTGTTTTCAGTATTAGTGGGGCAATGTCTATTTCCCCCACCCCCAAAGTCAGAGGGTATGAGCTGTTGAGTTCTAGAGCTAAAGTAAAGATTCCATTTGTTAAGTTACTATTCTCTAGAGCTGTACACTTGTAATTTAACAGCAATAGTGGAGTAGCTGCTCCAAACCATGTGTACATGAAGTGACTTAGTAGTGAACAYTGGAGAAGCCATGAATTGACTCCTRTTTTCCCTTAAAGAGGAGTGATCAGAAATATATGATTACTGCATGTTTTACAGAGTGGACTATCATTTTTCTCTCTGTATAGGGGACAAGATTTTGCAAGTTTTGAGAATTTAGAAAAAGCTCAGGCTGTAGACAAGGCTTGTTTTCCTTTCTCAGAGCTGCCAGTGTCTAGCCACTGAGTCATGATCTCAGCTACAGCATATGTGATGACAGACTTCAAACCATCAATTAATTTTTCCTTCCTTCTAGCTGTTCCCAAATCTTCTCRGTCTCAAGGAACCATCAACAGAAAATATTTTGTTAAAGTCAAAGAAGGGTACAGAACCACAGAAGTCAGGGTTCTCTAAGTGGAAATGTAAAAATCTTAATGCTGTAGAGGCATCCAGAGTTCATCATTATTACTTTGTCTGTTTTCTGTTGCTGTCAACTAAACGATTTAGGTAGTGATTCATGTTTTTCTTCAGATGACTTTTACTTTTCTCTCAGTATTATTGACAACATTTTTATTATAATTTTTCACAACTGAGTTAAGAATTGGATGTTCATAACTTCTGTGACTCACACATAGTCACACATTCAAAAGCAACTGCATTTCAAAGCRGTGTTGATCGGACTTACTGCAGCGAGCTCAAGTGCTATTCATGACAACTAGTTATGCTCTCTTAAACAAAGTWTTTTCTCACTGGGTAAATAACCTAAGGCCAGGCTCTGTGCAATGGTAGTAAGATTCTCTATTCCTCGAGTGAGCTAGACATAGCCTTAAGGATCCTGTGGCTATGCTTCAGTGAGCACTTTAAACCCAKTGTGAGATGGAGCAGCATCTCAATGAAGCTGAGCCTCTCTTTTTCCAGCTCTTATGTTCTGACCCTTGTGCTGTCTCCCACGTGCCCTCACAAGCATTTTTGGCTGTATGCTAAGCCAAAGGGAGAAACTGATCTATCCAGCCAAAAATTAATCCATCGCAAGAAAGGAAAAAGATTTAACTTGATTGCTTTCCCAGTCTAATTCATTGTGAAGCTGTGCAAAAAGCTCTGCCATCCAAAGAGAAGATGGAAAATGGCACAACCACAGAGCACTCCTAACATCCAGTGACTGACAGGCAGGTCTTGCGAGTACAAATTACAGAAACTTTTCACTTTTTTGTGCCTTGTTCTTTAGAAAGAGACAAATTTGTCTTCCTTTTTTATTCCCCTCTTGAACTCAGCCAACTGTGTGTTGAAGGGAGGGTTATGGAAACTAACACTTCTGTCCCTGGACCTTTTGAAAACATTTACTTAGCCCCTGCCAGCTGGCTTATGTAGTGGCCACGAGGGTAAGGCCAGTTCCCAGAGCACCATGTTCCTAGTTTGCACCTTTAGAAATGAGACAGAAGGGTATCACTTTGAACACACAAAATCAGAACCTCACGGTGCTACTTGGCACTCAGAAAAGGAAAGGGCACATTTGCTTATATTCATAATCATGCTGAGACAGAGAATCRGAATTCATGTCTCTCAAAAAAGACCTGGATGCAGCTAGATACAATTCCCACCTTCCGTACTGCCTCTGAATTTCTCACCATGTCTAAGAGAAGAGTAGAATTGACAGGGGACTGATATAAGTCTGTCTGTCAGAAGAGAGAAAAATAAGCTCCCATCTCGCTCCTTCATCTATTTATCTAGCTATCAGAGGCAGAGATATGGCTCCTGGCTCTCTGTCTGTCAAATACATTATGAAAGCAATTATGTCACAAGCACAGCTCTGGCTTTGCTGAATGAATCTGTCAAGAGGGAACAGACTGCCTGGAGTGTTTTGCACACAGCTCTTGGCACTAAATGAGTGGAATACTATGGGGGGGAGGGGGGAGTAATTTTTTTTTTTTTTTTTTTTTATTTCTAAGGCCGTTTACTGAAGTGCAGTCATGATATTTGAAGTCCAGATCTCTGTGTTGTGTGGCTTCCCTCTTGCATCTCTGTTCCTTTTAGCATTCACATAATGGTTGGAGTTGGAAGGGACCACTGGAGATCATATGGTCCAACCCACCTCTATCATCCCTTGCCAGACTTAATTCCAAAAGGGCCTTAACCTTTCTTGTCACATCTCTTCATACTTTGACAACATTCCTGTATTCCTCTCAAGTGGCCTGTCCCTTTTTCCATATTCCATAGACTTCCTTCTTTTTTCAGGGTTTGAGTTTTGCCAGAAGCTTCTTGTTCTTTCATGCAGGGCTCCTGCTCTCTTTGTATGATTTCTTACTCAGAGGGATGCATCAAACTTGAGTTTGAAGGAAGTGATGCTTGAATATTAACAAGCTATCTTGGTTCCCCCATCTTCTAGAGCCCTAACTCAGAGGATTCCTACAATTAAATCTTTGGGAGAGATAACTTTGATTCCTTCAAAGTTCAGGCTTGTAGTCCTGCTTATTGCCCTTGTTTCTTCCATGTAGGATCCTCCACCATCTTTTGGTCACTGCAGCCAGGGCTGCTCCCAACCTTCACATGCTCAACCACTCCTTCTTTGTCAATACAAGGTCACATCTTCTTGTTGGATCCTCCACCACCTGTGTCAAAAAGATCTCTTCAGTGCTCTGCAGCAATCTCCTGCACTGTATGTGCCCAGCTGCGTGGTCTTTCCAGCAGATTGATTTAATCCTGACATCTTAAAGGGAAGGCCATGTTTCAGTAGCAATTTACAATGAGAAGTTCTTGTAAAACTTTTGTGGGTTTTATCTTAACTGGATTGCAGAAAGGAGAAGAAGTCAGAAACCTGAAACATTACTGGTACACGTCTTGGCCAGACCAGAAGACACCAGACCAGGCCCCTCCTCTGTTACAGCTGGTATTGGAAGTGGAAGAGGCCATGCAGAGTGCAGAGGAGAAGAATGCCCCCGTGATTGTTCACTGCAGGTAAATAAATATTGTGTTTCAATTTTAAGGGCTTCTTTGCATGCAGTGGCATAGCGCAGATACTGCCACATAGGCCATCAGTCACGTGTGTGAAATCTTGCCCARCTGCTTCTGAAATACGCTTGGAACTTCAAAGCTTTAATGACAATAATTTTCTATTACCAAGTGTTGCTTTCAGATATAGACTGAGTTGAGCATAGAAGCTGGCAGTGGCTCAGTTACTTGCAAGAGCAATTCCATTTCATTTGCCTTACCAGTAATCTATGCCCTTAATTGTCTTTTAAGGGTCAGGTTAGCAAAGATTAACATACTTTAGGTGAAATTGAGCAGGAAGATACACACAAGCAGAAAAACAAGAACATTCAGCTTTCAAACACCCTTGTTTTCTAGATTCCTTCTTTGCTTCTTTTTGAAAAACAAATCATTATTAGGCCAAAGATAATAATTTAAGTATGACACATAAATGAAAGAGTGGCAAAGCTGATTGCAGCAAGTATTAATCAATAGTCAGGAAATGTAGGCAATTGATAGTAGAACTGAAGTATCAGTAAAAATCCCTGACAAAGATGAAAACTTATGGAAGGAGCCAAGTCTTCACAGTGGTTTGATGCATGATGAGGAAGTTGTAATTATCAATCAGAGTAGCATAAAAATAGATTAGGATAGATACTTCTCTTCTGTCCTCAGAAAGAAGTGGGATGATGTACTTATCATTTGCAGACGTGATGAAGTATGTTCTTTTGCACTGCTAACTAGGGAGGGTGTTAAGCATCAACTATTTAATCAGATATGCTGGTTGATTTTCATCCAAGAGTGTTTTTAAAAAGTTGATTCACAGCCTCTAAACCATAAAAGTTTATTATAGATGAATTATACTTCTTGGAAAATTGGAGAAGTTCCAGAGGTCTAAAAACAGCCCATTTTGCCAGTGTTTAGAAAGGTTAAATGTGATTACTTGGAAACTGCAGTCTGTCCTCAAAACAGTTATTCCAGGTAAATAGCAGAAAGCCTGATAAGAGATGCACTTGTCTTGCCAGGGTAATCTTTCATAATTTCAATAACATACATTTTGCCAAATTGATTTTTGTACAGAATTTTACTTAATTTTGCATAATGTTTTCTAGGAAACAGCAGATGGTAGCTCTCCAAAAGCCATAATAAATGGGTATTATACAATGAGGATGTTTTCAAAGAGCCTCTTGGCACAAATGATTGGTAGCCTGGTGTCATCAGAGATCCAACTTTAWGCTAATACGGAGTTGTCATGATTAAAATGTTCATGTGATACCACATGATTAGTTTTTCTGCCTGTGTTTTAAAACAGATGTGAAAAATTGGGGAGAGTTCATATAAAAATAAGAAATGGTTTGTAAGAAGGTCTTCTTTGTCCCTGGAAAGCTGTCACTCTCTAAGAGCTCCTTGAAGCCCTGTGTTATCGGCTGCTGATTACSTTGTTGCTCTTGCTTTGCATATTTGTCCTCTTGTATGGTGTAATCCCCATGACACACTAATCAACTGGAGAGAAATGGGGCATTTTTATTTAAAAAAAAATACTAAAAGACATGGTATGTAAGTTAAGTATTATTAAGTATTCTATATGGATAATGCACCACCCTTGGGCAGGATTATGACGCTGTCTCAGCCACTGAAGAACTGCAGCTTGTCTTGGGACAAGTGCTCTGTCAGTGCTGTTTTCTTTCTCTAAAAATGGGTGCTGTTCCCTCCTTTTGCAAAACACTCTGAGGCCTCTGGACAGGAAAAAGTGTCAGGAGCTGTGTGCTGTGTTCTGTTTGGTATGGCCAAGTGGAAGATCAAGGACTTGTGGGCTGCTGTGAACTGTGACCTCCAGTGCTGCYTGTGCATTTGTTGCCTGTGGTTTTGTATTACAGTGTTCTCACAAGGTAAATGGAAGCAGGATTTCTTGTAGTTTGTCAAGTAATTTTTCTTGAATATGCTCATTTAATTAGTTCCTGCATAAGAAGGGCTTCCAATGTTTGCCGGTAGTTTTTTAGGTGATTAGAAGAATTCACACCTTATGTAGCACTGTGCCTTTGAAAATAAATTCAGTTCTGGTCATTTACCAAAGGCTATATCAGATGCAAAGGAGTTCAGGAAAATTCTAAGAAATTTCATTGGTAGTGAATTTATTATGTCCTGCTCTAATTCAAATTACTAGATTGTAGATCTGATCAGTAAATGGCATCACACTTACTATACTGCTGTTAGCTCTAATTATTTAAGCAAGAGTTGCATTTTTTTTATTCTACCTGTGAATGAAAATAGATTTCAAAGAAGCTGTTAGAATTGAGAATTTCAAAGCATAGTTTGCCTTCAAAGCACGGGTTGCTGTCACACCAAGTCTTACTAAGAAATGCAGGAGCTTTTTTTCAGTGGTTCAGTGAGAGGTTCAACAGCATATTGGGTCAAACAGTATCTAATAGTACATTTTTAGCACTGTGTGTGCAATGTTCACTCTTTTGCTGTGAATGGCTCCTACTTAATCGTGTTATCCCCCCAAAATTAGTATCTTTTCCTATTTACATCTTTCCATCTGGAAGCACCCAGCTGGCAAAGGTCAGAGGGACAAAGGGGATGATGGGATCTCTGCTGGTTTAGCAGCAGTCATTTGACAGGAAAGTTCCAAAGTCCTTCTGACATCTCCACTGCCTCTCTCTGCTTTTCCCTTCCTCAGTGCAGGCATCGGAAGGACTGGCTGCTTTATTGCCACCAGTGTCTGCTGTAAACAGCTGAAGAACGAGGGCATAGTTGACATTTTGCGAACAGCCTGCCAGTTACGGTTAGACAGGTAAGAAAGCCTGTTTCTTTCCAGTAACATAAAAAGAAAAAAGGTTAATATTTCCCCTCATATAAGAAGAAGCAAATAGGGAAAGGGGAAGAACATACCCAAGTGGAGTCCAAGACAGGACATTCCCCTGACTTGTTATCTTTGCCTGAGCAGTGAACCTTAATGAACAGCCCTGGAACTGAGTTAGAATCACAGCTGGCATCAAAATCTGCACAGCTGTCCATCTCCATGCAGCAAGGGGCAGTGACCTTCCACCAGCTGAGGGGTTGGTCCCATGTTCATACAGAAGCAAAGGCTCAAAGACCTGCTGTATTTAAGTTCAAAGCCACAGAYCATCACTTTCCTCCCAGAAGAATAATGAAAACTGGTCTCGTGTGCTTTAGCTGTGAACAATGGTGGGAGAGACATTTCTTGGGGAGGGAGACGGTGCCCGTCCTGGAATGTTTGCAGACATATGAAAGGAACTGTGAAAATCTCCACAAATTCAATGGCTTTTAGTTCAGCATTTCTTAACACACCACCTTGAGTTTGATTATGAAGTAAACAGACTTGAATTTTGTACCAGAGATGTTATTTTTTCTCTCCCACTGGTTTCAAGTGCCATCAAAACATGTCTCAGTGCTCTCTCTAATGATAATGATAAATGTAGTCGGGGGAAGAGATGTCACGAAAAACATACCAAAGATTTTTCTGAGGGAAAAAAAAAGAACCTCAACCCCACGCTGAACTTTATTTCAGAGAAGAAATTATGCTCAGTGGGAGGCAAAAAATGAAATGCTTGCTGCCCTGCTGAGGCTCTGATAGACAGGGACCTGCAGGGGCTAAGGGATTTGGCTCTTTCAGTGGATTTTAGCCCAGAAAAGGAAAGGCTTCTTGAGAAAAAGAAAACCAGAATATGAATAGTGAGTGCTGATTATCCATGGTCCAGTGAAATATCTGTCTGGATGTCAAATATCTTGTCTCTGTGACTAATGTTACACAGGAAAATTGCCATACAAATGAAGGTTGAAGGCGCCTGCTTACAAATGTGTGTTATACAGCAGACCAATTGCAAATACTAGCTTTGAAGAAAGAGGGGAACTGGCAGTCATTTTCAGACCCTGAAGAAGGGAAATCACACTTAAAGGAAACCACAGAGGGAAAGGAACCTCTGTAGCTGCCATGTAGCTCTCAGGAGTGGGATGGAATAGATAAAAGCCATTTAAATGTCATGGGGTAAAATACTCAAGATGGAAAGCAGATCACCATCCTTCCCACAGAAGTGCATGCTTTCTTCAAGGACCGAAAACTAGGGCTTCTAGTCTCTTGGAAGTCATGCTGCCACCCACTCTCATTTTCACTAACCCCCCACAAAAGCTCCAGGAGAATTCAGAAGTAGCATGAGAGGCTGAAACAGTGTCCAAGCAGCTCTGGGAAGGAAGGCTCTGTGTCTCCTCCTCTTGCCTTATCATTACTGTCTAGGATGGGAAGGAGTCACCAGGGACTTAGGGAAAGAAGGCTGAATGCAGGCCAGGCAGATGTGGGAAGGAATGCATCTCCCTGCTTCACACAGAAGTAGAGAAGTTGGCATTAGCCCTGAGAACCACCTTTGAAYTTGCCATGGTTATGGAAAGAACAAATCTGTTTTTCCCTCATTCCCTCACAATTCCTTAGAAAAGTTCTGTGCACTGGGCTTTGCATCCATGGCCAACAGATGGTCCTAAAATAACCTAGTATGACTAAGGAGAGGAAATAATCATTCCTGCATCCTTCTCACAGTGCTGAGAGACATTTGCTRTCTTTGCCCACAATGCAACTCAGATTTCAAAGGTTTCTGTGGAAAATAGGGGTGAAAACATAATTCTGTGCCAAAGCCCGGACAGCAAGCACATGTCATGGTGTGCATATGTGTGGCAAGGGAGGAAGCTGCCACATAATAGGGAACTGAATAAAAAGGAAAATAATTTCCTCTGGTCTGAAACTCAATGGCCACCCTAGTGCTTCTCTAACTCTAACTTCAGGGTGCAGCCAAACTGTTAATGGAGTTGCTTAGGAGAAATTGTCAGATATGACTAATGGTCCTTGTGTGTCACAGTCTGACATAGATACATTTCAGTGCTGTGTGGAGCACAGAGGAACTCAGAAATAGATAAACTGTGAGCTTGTATTAAGTAGAGCAGATGGGGAGGAGATGCTTAGGTAGGAAACATTTTTGTTTTAGAAAGACAGTATGTGTTTCTCACCTTTGCTAGTTGATGAGAGGTTGAAGAATAGGTCTCTGCTTTTCCTGCTCATTGTTAAGTGTTAATTGAGACAGCTTCTTAACAAAATAAGTGCAAGAGGCTGAAGAGCAAGGTTGTCTAGTCCACTCATCTCCCCCTTAATGGAGTGGCTACTGTGTGACCCATAATGGTTAAGCTAGAGTCCATAGAAAAGGGCAGTCCCCAAGGAGGGTGCTAGCAGTCTGCTGCCCGCTCGGCTCAGAGGAAGCAACTTTTCATTCATCTCCTCTGGTGAGGTTTCTAAGGGAATGTACCACATACACACTTGTCAGACTGGTGCAGTCTGGTTGGCTCCAGTCACCCACAGGTTCACATGTTCCTCAACCCCACTTGTCATTTCACCCTCCTTTTGGCACCGTGCTCCCAGAATCTGTGCACCGGCACTGGCACAATTCTGGATACACTTTCTGTGATCTTGAGCCACAATGGTTAATTGTCTTCATGATGGATTATCAAGAGATCATACCACTTTCGATGGGGTACTCTTAGCAAAATTTTAAATGTTAGTAAAATCTGCTTAAAATGAACAACTTCATCCTGATTCTTTTTGTTCGTGTCTGTCTCCACCTGTAGTGCACACATGTTGGTTAATAGGCTACTTGCAGAAATACACAGGCTAATAACACAAGGAAAATCAAACTACTTTTGCTCCACTTGCATTTCCTGTCAGGTTTTCAGTTTTAAAGAGGTGGAAAATAAGCTGAATCAAAACAGCTTACTGTGCTGGGGGGTCTTTTGCTATCAAGGTGTGCACAGCAGTCAACTCAGTTGCAAATCTGAGTTGTCCTTTCTAAAGTAACATTGTCTGTTCCAAAATACTGTTGGCCATCCTTAGTTCTCTGGTTAATTTGCCAAAAGCATGATGTGGGATGGCACAGAGGAAAGGATCCTCATTGCAGATGAGAAAGTTGCATCAGTTGGCTGGGCTTGTCTGGCTTGGCCTGTCTCTCTTGGTCCCAAATTCAGTCCCTAGTGCAGCTGTGAAACCTTGGATAAGACTTCCTCTCTTTATTCCCCTGCTCCCATCTATCTCTTTAGGGCTTTGGAGTACAGGTGGTCAAGTAACATGAGASTAAATAATGATGGTGGTGCTTTCCTGGAGGAGGATCACAGCCAAGGAAAATGAAYGTAAAGCCCATTCCTGTTCCCACTGCCTTCTGTTCCTTGCTTAGCAGACTTTCAAAATGGAGGTCGAGGTCAGACTTGAAGCTGGTTGTGATCAAGGGACACTTCTCACTCATTTYAGAAAGCTTTGGAGTGCACTTTTGGCATGGAGCACAGGCTTYGTATTAGCTGTGCTCTTTCCTCATGTGTTTGCATGTAATAAGATTGCTGTTTCCCTCCCCTCTTCTTCTTGCCTTTCAGGGGAGGAATGATCCAGACTTGTGAACAGTATCAATTTGTCCATCATGTCATGAGCTTGTACGGAAAACAGCTTTCTAGAGCAGCAGAAGAATAAGTGTTCATGACATTCCTAAAGGCTAAAGCCAAAAGAACTTTTGACTGCGTTCAGATATCTTTCAGATCTGATAAGAGACACGTGGTAACCTGGCTGTCTTAGCTGGAAAGTTGTTATTTTACTTTGATATTGCTTTTATGCTCTTGTTTGCATTGACATTTAAGAGCTGAGGTACGCCTTGTCTTAAACATACGTGATGGGACATAATCTTCACCAAAAAAGGCTTATTTATACTGTAAATAATAACAGTAGCTTCATTTGTTACAAAAGCAAGGAAGAAAAAAAACAAAAAAAATCCACTGTCTTCAGTTTGCTATTTTTTAAAAGGTCATTGCTAATATATCCAAATACAGTGTGAAACTTTTTAAATTGTCATGCTGAAATGTGCCGTATGTTGACTAAGCTTGAAAGTAAATTTTTGCCTCTTTCTGATTGTTTTTATATATAAAATTACCGAATACTGTGTGTATCGTAAACCTTCTGAGCCTCTGCATTGAAAGACTCAAGTAGATTCACATTGAAATGATGTTTCACACATCATGTTTGCTTGTTTATTTCTTMTAAAGCAGTCCACTACCAGTGTCATCAGAACTAAGGGGGAAAAAATATTTCAATGACATGAGTCGAATTCTTGCCTCGAATTCTTACCAGCAGTGTATCCCAGGATCATGACAGCTGGGTGAATCTGAGTAGAAATTATTCTGAACATAAATGCTTTATGCTTTACCTTTTCTTTGTCAATATTTGGGCATCTTAGTCATCTGGCAAACAAATTGTATTTCTGCAAATAGTTTTTATTTTTTACGTAATCAGAACACAATCGGAATACATTTTCTCCTGAAATCTGAGATTCAAAATCAGGTGAGGAATTTTTTTAGTTAATCTTTATTAGAAATCTGATAATAAAATCAGTTGTATTCTACTAATTTGTACTTGTTTCAAAGCTTTGGGTAACCATTTGTCCAGTGCCTATTAAAATTAATGCAAATCCTATAGGCAGCTTTAAAAACAAATCAGTCTGAACTTGCTGGCTGCTTTGGGCTAAATTTGCTCTCGAACCAAATTTAGACAATCGTTAGCCCATTCTAACCACTGGTCTGGGCAGCAGTATTTCCCTTTCAGTAATACAGACTGCTGCCTGTGCTTTTTGATTTAGACTTCGATCAGGCTGGGAAGACTGTAGTTTGTGTTTAATACTTAGAGGTAARCACATGTTTTAGTGCTTCATTGAGCAGAGAAAAATGGAGGTATGCAGGATCCTTAACATGAAAGATGAGTGTTTTCTGAATAGAAGCTCTAATGACCTACTAAAAATATTTTTGCTTCTCTTTATTTGTTATAACCAAAACCTACTGTTTCTATTAGTGCAGAAGATTCTGCGAATTCACTGCACTTCCTAATCAGGAGAAGGTAAAGCAGCTCTCAGAACAATAAGGGCTGATCCTGCCCCCACTGATGTTTTGCCATTGACGTCAGCAGGTGCAGGGTAAGGCCTCAAATGTTACGCCTACAACTTCATCACTGTGGGGAAAGTTTCCCAATATTTCAGTAGACATCTTTGTGTTTATTCTGTATCCACGAACCTGTAAAAATCCTGTCTGCAGGGTTTGCATGAATGTGTGGCAAAATGTGTTATCTTTAAATTACTTGATTTTATTGCTGTATTTAAAATATTTCCTTCAGTGAGAATCTAGCAGGAAGAACTGGCATTCTTTTTTAAAATACTGGTGATAGTCATTAAAGAGAGCAATAAACTTAAGCTTTTGAGCATAACACGACTGTTAGTTTTATGTAAATCTTGACAGCATTGTTCTCCAYGTGCTATCAATTTTTTGAAATGGGTAACACTATTCCATCTAAGCACTCCTTAAAAATAACAACAACTGATATTCTGAATAACATTGAAAATGGAACTCCCTATAAATGTTTTTCTGCTGTTCTGTGTCAAAACTGACTCAGTGAATAAAAATACTTTCTCTGTCATCAGCTTCCCATGCATCTGCTGAAGAATATTTGTTGATGATTGAGAGCAGTGTGCATGTAGTCGGTAAGTTCAACATAGAAGTTGCCTCCTGCATAAGGAGATTTTCTGGAGGAGAATAGCTTTATGGCAAACTAGGTATGAAGAGCTCTAAGATACTGACCTTGAGGTCCTTGCATTGATCCTCAGCAGATGTTAGTTGACAGTGCTTCACTGACTTGAGTAGAAATGAATGATTTACATCAATGAAGGAAATCTGGCCTGCTACCCACTCTATATGTGTGCAATGTCCTGAGAAAGGGGTCGTTGATAAAATCAGGTTGTTTGGCATCAAATCACTGCTACAAAGCACAAGTCATCCTTGTTGCATGGTCTGGTGATGAGGGCTGTACTGCTGCCATCTCATACCAGGCAAGAGCCACTTGGTCAGGATCAAAATATTCAAATGCCTCTCGAAGTGTTATTTTGTCTAACAGAATTGGAGCTAATCCTCCTATTTACTCTTYGGCCTTATCATAATTAGCATATTTCTGTCACTTTTGTTCTTTACTTTTTTTTTTAATAGAATTTGAGATCTGAAGGACCTTTTATCAGCTGTTCTGATCTCTTCTGACAGCAGAGGTAGTCTTAAGAAGTGCTTAAGATTAGCAGAAAGGAGCTCTGGCCRTGTGCAAGCACTTGAGATGAGTGGGGCTGCTGCTTCTCTAATCAGTGTGCTTGAAAYTGAGCTGACAATAGGAACTAAGCTAAGCTGTGTGTCTTGCTAGACTTGTCTTTTTACTCTTTCTCTATTAAATGAAAATTCTAAGCATACTTCATCCACTCTGGCCTGCTCACTGCCYGGGACTCTTTGTACCAGAGACTAAAGCATTAATACCTACAACTGTTGTTTCCCAGAGGACTGAATTCCTCTCTGCAAATGGGTAAGCACATAACAAACATCAGATTATTTTATTTAGAACCAACTGTGACGTCTTCTGTTTCATAAGCTTTTTCACACTTCAAACAGGGCAGAGCCTAGCTCAGTAGCTCGGTTGTTTGCTGGTTATTTGGTCAATGGTCGCCACACTTCAGCAGTTTTATCCTGTTTCTGTCATGGTAACAGACTAATAGCACATTCTGTCCTCATGCAGTTAGTCTGAGATCAGCAGATACCAAAGTTATGTAAAAACAAAAACTAAGATTGCACTTGAGCATAAGAGCTGTCCTCAGATAAAGCATGACTCGCTCTCTGAAGGATCAAGATAAAGATGACCTGGTCAAATAATTCTTGAATGTCACCTACCTGGTACTTATGTAGGGAAGAGAACTGCATTTCTTCAAAGAATTTCAAAAGTATCTATTTATTCTGGACTTTTCCTCTATAGTTAGCCTTCTTTGAAAATCCTTAACATGTGAATTTGCAGTTGCAAAATGGGCTTGAGAATGAAGGCAGGACAAAAGAGGACCTTGATCACTTCCCTGCTATCTCTTCAGTGGAGGAATTGTGCAGTTTGCACATAGATGGTCATGCTTTATAGATTTGCTGTGGAGAAAAAACAAAACACCTTTCCTGAAGTACATGGGGATAACCTTGTTTCTTCTGCTTGATGTGCATTTCCTGGTGTCTGCTTGATGTCCAAGTCTGTAGATGTGCATTTCCTGGTGTCTGCAAGAGTGACTGTCACCTTAAAGTAGGGCAGCTCAAGGAAGCTTTTTCTCCTGCAAGATAAAAAAAAAAAAATGCTCCATTCAAAAGCACAGAAGGAAYATGTGAATGAAAGCAGCATTTGCAGCTTTATGCATAAGGTACAGGCAGTGAAAGAACTGCATGCTCTAAGCAACACAAGCATTGATTTCCAGTGTCTCAAAGTGAATTTCACATATTCACAAAGAAGTTAATTTCTTCGATTATATACAAGGAAAGAGAAGAATCCACTCTCCTTTGAGCACTGATAGAGATCAGGCTCAAGCCACTTAATACAACAGATGCTGCATTCTCATAGCATGGTGTGAAAGCCACAGAAGGGGTTATGATTAGACCTGCCCAAGCTTGTGGGCCATGTAATCCCCAGCAGGGCAGCAGTGTCAGGTTTACTGGGCTGATAGCAAACCTGAATGAAGAGAAAGACAATTATTAACTCAGAATTAAAAGCCATGTTGGTATCAGAGCTGGCAATATGGCTCTGCATGTTTGAGAACATAAATAGTCTGTCAAAGGACTCAGGTATTGCAGTTCCTGGCCCTTTCTCTCTATTGGACCATGCTACTCAACTTGTGTTCCCTATTGCTTCTTTATCTGCCTGTCACTGCTTACACTTAAAATAGAATTAATTAAGTCACTGTGCTGCACTACTTTTAGTCCAATATGTTGATAGCCACTGTTTTCCAGAAATCATCTCTTTCCTTGGAGAGAGCCTGTCTTGTTAGACTCTCTTCAGAGGGCCCAACCTCTTCTGCATATGTCTTCATCCCAGATTTTTGGGGGTAGAAATCTGCAATTGTGTCCATCTTACAAACGGCATTTCTCCATTSAGAAGCTCTTGTGTTTGCCAGAGTCATTTTTTTTATTATGTCTGACCTTAACTCCCCAGGTCCCAGTAGCAGGTGAAACTTTCCTCTGAAAAGGTGAAGGCAACACTTCTCTTCAGGGATCAGAGGGGGAAAATCCTGCATACATCTCCTTTGCATATTTAACTTCTTTGCCTCTGAAGTGGGCAACACAAGGAAGCTTGTCAAGAATTAAGTCAAAACTAATAATGCACAATGGAAGCCTCCTCTTGTAAATTAGCTTTGACTCCTTCTGTCTCAGAAGAAGGAAAGCTGTATGTGATTGGTTTTACTCCATCCACTGTTGTTTTGATATTTAGGATATTGTGAGGAATACAGAAAACAAACACTCAGGCAACACAAAGGTCAGGGTGTCAGTTTGGGTAGGTGTGAGGAATTGGATTGTGTTGGCAGTGTTTTGGTTTTTGTTGGGAAAAACATGACTTCCAGTCCAGAAACCAGGTTTCTATACTTTATAACTTCTAGCTAAGTTGGGCTCTTGTTCCTGAAGTAGAATATTGGAGAGATAAGTGAAGGTTGATTTCTTCATACATTTATTAAACAAGCAATAAATAACACCTTATTCACTTTGTAACGTGACCAGTGCCATTTCCAGACACTTCTGATTTGATCTGTGTTAATAGAACACAAGCTTCCAGACAAGGGTGCACAGAGTATCTGTCTTGCTGGATTCCTTCTTTAGCCTGTGAAACAGCATATGTTTATTTTGGCTGTCTGTATTGTGGTAATTTTTGTTCACTGGAAAAATTGACAATGTTCYGGCCTGTGCCCTGTTTTTTCTTGGTTTTTTGTTAAACTTTTCACCTCCCTATTTCTTTCCTAGACTAGCAGAAATGACCTAAAAATCATCAGGAAAAGGTGTTACATTTCTGGAGGGGGATTGCCTTTTCCAGAGTTTACCCTGCAATTATTCTCATCAGGTTATGGAAGTTGGCTAGATTTTTATATTCTTTGGTTTTCTAAGGTTCCATGTTTTGCAGARCATAACCCAAGTGCATCCTGCACTAGACTCCCTTTTCAACTGAATTTAACATAAATATGTAGTGCATACCAGCATCCTGTTCCAAACAGAAATCAGATGTGCACATTTAAGYAGTTTATTGCCACTATATCTTGTTCAGCCTTTGTTCAAAGCAAGCAGGGTCATTTGTGTCCTGCAGAACAGATAGACCTTATCCACCTAAAACCATTTCCTGCACTATTCAGCAGTGCTCTGGTTAACACTAGTAAAGTGAAAAAAGAGCTAAGTACACACGCTGAGATCTGTAATTCATTCCCTTCTCGAGAAGTACCTTTCCCATTGGGAATGAAGTCCTACTCCAAATGAAGAAGGGTGGCAGAATCTCATTMAGAAATACAGGTGATTAAAGAATGACCTCTATTCTAAAGTTGTGAACTGATTTTCTAAAGCACTGAGTCCTTGCTTGAGTAACTGAATGAACTGGCTGGACTTGGAAATGATAGAAAGTGCTGCATGTACTATTTTAAGATAAACATAGCCAAAGCCTGGAGGTGTGAAAGCAGCACTGGGGAATACTTTAAACATCAAAGAAGGATTTTTTGAATGTTTAACTGTTTGAGACCTGGACCCACGTATTTTGGTTTCAGCATGAAATGAAAAGCTCTAGTKAATTGTTTCATAGTCTGCCTTTGATCAAAATTTTGAAATTATGTGAAAATCAATCATAAGAAAACCTGGGACTGGGGTGGTAATGTTTATTTTTAAATAAACATGTATCCTTTTGATGTACAGAAGGTTTATTCCTTTTAGCACCACAACTGAAGTTTTATCATCCTGTTATTCCAAGAATGAGAAATTGCTGAAACCAGTGCAAAGGATGTAACGACACAGCCCACCAGAGGCCAGTATTTAAACTTTGAACTACTCAAAGTCATATTTGTCCAGCGTAAAGGGACTCAGGCTTCTTCCTGGGAATGCAACAAGCTAGACAACTTACCTGAACTGAGGGACAGAGAAGGGTTCAGCAATGGTGGTGAAAGCTCCTATCCCTTGGTGGGAACAACCAGGACTTTATCAGCTGGGATTAAAAAGGTAAAACTTACATAAACATATATTCTCAAGAATGTCATAATACTTTGTACTCTGTGGCTGTGGTCAGGCAGGGTAGAAATTGGCAATGTGAGTCCAATAACTTAAGACTCATAATTGTTTTGCTTTTCCTTTCCTTCCTTTTCCAAGAAAGGAACCTTGTGAAGTACCACTCTGAAGTGTAACTAATTTTCATGTTAAAAAAAGTTTGTGGCCAAGGATGAAAATTTTGATCTGGCAAAAGAAATGTAAGTAAAGGGAATTCCATTTTTAAGGTGAAAGGAGGTGGAGGGTGGATGGTTGTCTGACCTTTATGCCATGTCACTGTGAGCTTTCGTCGGATTTGAAAATCCAAATCTGAAGGCATGCCAAGCAGAGCAGGCRAGCAAAGCAGCATCTCTTCTCATTTTAGCACTTGGTGCTGCTGCTCTGGATTTGCCCTGTAATGGCTGAGGGCAAGATACATCTTTTTCAAGGGCTTCAGGTATTATAGGGCAGCATCTCATCTCTTCCAAACCTGTCCAAATCATTGCTGTCACCAGCACCAATGATCATTGTTACACAGGAATAAAAGGATGAGAACAGGACTGTGAGACAGGGTGGCAAAGGGGGTGGGAACACCTATGGGCAGACCAGGCATCAGGAGACAGAACATTTGTGCATCATACAGGCAGYCCTGGAGGCAACAGCCAGCTCAGCATGTAGATCAGAATATGTCTATTCTGATAAGGGAAAGGATCTCCTCAGAAGGATGCCCAAAACAGAGCACTTTTGGCACATCTTTAATTCCTGCTGGCAACAAAGCCAAGTCTCAAGATCATATGGCCTTGACATTGTCTCTCCTGTGGCTATATCTTCTAGGTTGCCATGCATAATCCTAGACTTATCATTTGTGCCCCCAAGTTTTGGAAAGGCTTTTGGGTTGATTTTCTCTTGCCCCAAGATCTTTCAGCAGCATAACAACTGTGTCAGAGGCTGCAATTCCTTACTGTGTGTGTTTTGCCACAGAACACTTTTTAAAACTAGGGAGCTACAGATTCTAGATGACTAATACTCATCCCTCAAGGACTACAATCAAATAATTCAGTTTTTCCCCAAATTGCCCTCTATGCATGGACCAATCTTGGAATAGCTATAGACAGCTATAGAAGTGCCACTGGAAGCAGGTTATCTGGTGACAGAACCTTTTCCTACAATATGGTCCCATGGCCTCCCCAGGTGATGCACCCCAAGCTGRCAAAGGGTGGGATGCATTTGTGCAGTGAGTTCTGCCTTCATCTAAGGGGAGAGTGTGTAGTTTTATTCTTCTCATAGGCCGGCACTGCTACTGCAAGACTGCATCAGCCCCTGCATSAGCGTTTTTATTAGAAATGTTTTCTCTTGCTTCGATTATCTTGGCTTAAAGCACCATTTTACTGTCTCAGCACTGCAGYGAGGATAATGACACTGTTCCCAGCCACTGGGAGCAGGGTATGAACAGCTAGTGGTGGAATTCACAAATTCCCCTGTACATGATACACTTTGGAGAGCTGGGGAGAGAGGTCCTTGATTAGAAAGAAGTACAGTGAAATAGTCYAAATGAATAAGCTGAAATAATTCAAGCCTGGTAGTCAAATTTCTGTTGATTTTCCTGGTATAAAATGGAGACATTTTGCTATTAACCACAGAAAAATAACTCAGCTTCAGAGAGGGGTGTTTTTCATGGAGTTTTAGAAATTTGTATTCAGGGACAGTTCCTTACTTCTCAGTTTTTGGGGGAAAAAMCCCAAGTTTTACTTGAACTTAACAACTAGTTAATACTAAAACTAAATGGCTTCATTCTGATAGAAGAATGTAGCTTTTTGAAGTTTTCTGCAATTAAACAGTTTAAAGCAGAAGGACTTAAACTGTGGATGTTTACCTAGACAYAGGGCATGAGCAGCACTCAAGAGAGTGCAGCTTGTGTGGAATGGAGCAAGTTCTAATGGGTTGTTTGATACATCCAGTTGTGATGCCTTCTCGAATGACATCTGACATCAAAGCACCTCACAGCACTCCTGCACAGCAAGGCAGCCCCATTTTCCCATTGTCTAGATGACAAGATACGTGCAGAGAGAGAAAATKACTTGCCCAAAATCCTGCAGAAATTCAGGAATGAAATGAGGAATTGATCAGCAGCCTCCTACAGACAGTCAGCACCCTTCCTACTGCACAAATCTTTCTCTCTCTAGAGTTTAGGTGATGAGCAGTAGCTTTATATTTTGGGACTCCTTGTTGTATCCACTCTTTCCCACTCCKGATAGATAAATCCTGCAATGAGTACCTTGCTGTTTGCTTAATTAACACACTTTTCCTCCAAGCAAAGTGGTTTCCCAGAAGTCTCTGCCTTGTTGAAATCTAGCAACATTCTGACATGCTCCTTGGAGATCCTTGCTGGAGAAAGCCTTCCTGAATTTGTGGGAAAACCTTGCCCACTGAAAACACCCAAGGGTGAGTGAAAAATATTTTTTCTGGAAGACCTTTACCTAGTGTGTGCCATTAACTGACAGTATTTCTGGAAGACCTTTACCTAGTGTGTGCCATTAACTGACATCCAGGTATGTTCACTCACCTCATGCAAGGAAATACTGTCTGTCATCTTCTATAACCAGAAGAGTAGTAAACAAAATGAGGTGCAAACTGCAATTATCTATATCCATCCACACTGGTTTTAGATATTTTTCATGGATGAATCAAATCAGTGGAAAAGCTGCTTGTCCTTATTGATTTAAATRCAGCAGTTCTTGTTTATGCAAAACTCATGATTGAGTGATTTGGCTGGGGCTGGAAGAATGTGACCTTTAATGCATAAGTAAATAAGTCTTTCCATCATGTATAATCTCTCCCATATGACAGATCTGTGACTGTCTAAAGTGACAGAAAGATCATATGAATCTTTATTTTTTGACATACATTATCACAAAAAGTCACAAATCATTCCTGTCAGTGTGCAGAGACCTGCTAATGAAACTATTTCATTCCATAGTGGTATCTGTGATGGATGTAAAGTTGTAAGAAGYAGTCAGTGAAATAAAGCAAGGTTAATCTAATCTCTTCGATAAAGCAGAGAGGAAAAGAAACCATGRTTTAAATAAACTCAGAGAAAGTAAATAACAGGCCTCTGTTCCATTTCACTCATTCTTTCCTTAATTCCAATGTTTCTTCTGGAATTTTAGGAGAAAAATCAATATTCTGAGCTAAAGTTAAAAGCAAACCAAGCTCTAATGTAAGGAGGAGAGAGTGGGTACCAATAGAAGAAGGATCCAGAATTATTTTGACAGTATTTTTAAGCAGCATGTGTGATTAGGTAGTTGTTGTTTTTTTTTTTAATTCCCACACTAAAAACTAACAAAGAAAAACTTAGACACTAGAGTATTCCTTACCAACAATAAGAAGGTCCCAGTTTGCAGTCAGCCTGCTGCAGTTGTGCCACTTCCAAATTCTTTTTGTATTTGAAATACTGTTGGTGTGCAGATAGGTGCTTCTGATCAACAGAAAAACAGCATTAGAGCAAGAACCATTATTTTTGTTACTTAGTTTTGTGTTTAGCCTCCAAAATACATCACTATCAGTGGGAAGACTTCTGTCTGTTTCTGGGGCTTTAGGAAGGCTGTGAGGAGCCTTTGGAGAGGAGGCGGAACTGGATTTGGCCTCAGAATTTCTGTCCTCAGAGATTCTGGGTTTTCAACAGGCCAGTTTCTTCAGTGATTAAAAAAACCACTGATGTAAACCCAAATATAAAGAGGAATTCCCTAATACATTTGTCATACTCACTCCCTATCAGCCCAGCCTACATGGAGGTCTTGCTTATTGCTTTCTCTGGTTTTATTTTTTTTTTTATCTTTCCAATCTGAATGCTGTTCCTGASATGACACAGATAACTACAAGTGCAGTGTCCAGTACCTACACCAATGCCATGTCCTTGATCGTGACTAAAGGTAAGCTCTGGAGATCTGGCTTGGCGGTTGCTAGGCCAGATACTACCAGTTAAGCTTGTAAGAATTCTGAAGTTAGACAAAGGGAAGATTTGCTGCAAGTAGAGGGGGATGTAGCAGGGTGGAAGGATCTACCYCCTACCTAGGCACCTACAGTCTTCTGTGGCTGAGAGGAAACTCTGTTGTGCAGAGAATKATAGGTAATGTTTGTTCTCAGACCCATGAGGTTCTTTGTACAATGTCAGCATCAACTGCAGACAAGCATTTGAGGGTCAGAATTGGTGGGCCAAACTGTAACTATCTTTTCTTACATGTCTCTGCAACTGTCATGATTCACTCGTCTTTTTAGTCTGGAACAGAAATTTAACTTGTACAAATCATAAACCAAACCGCAATTACCAGAGCRCCCATGTGAAAACACCTTTCAAGAGAGAGCAGATTTCAATTTGAAGCCTGGTTATTACACATAATAAGCCAAATTCTCCACTGATGTCAGTGTGGAAGGGTGTTAGTCACTCCTGAATTTGGACCAGTTTTAGCAGAGAAGATGGGAATGATAAAATGCACCTTGGCACTGTTTTTTCAGTGCAAATGGAATTTGCTCAAACACTGTTGCAGCACTTTGGAGTGAGTGGATGGGTCTGGGCATAATGACAATGATCTTTTTTTCATCAGCATGTTCTTCCTATGACCAGCCAAATATGTGTCTGCTTTTTGGAAAAAAAAAAAAAAAAAAAAAAAAGCCACACATTTTATATAGCAAACTTGTTTTTAATCAGTGCTGAGTAACAATGATGCTGCCCACCTGCCTTATCTTTTATTGTAGCAGGACCATCTCTTCAAGATGAGGTTTTCCATAAGCATCATCTTTTAAACAAAATAATGTTTTATTTAAGCCCTAGGCAAGGCTTGGGCACAAGCTGTTTGGTGGTGTGGCAGATTACCTTACTTAACCAACCAGTGATCCTGTGCCAGGCACTGCAGCATTCTTGACAGGTAAAGCAGTAATATGGCAGTCATCCTTCAGACATCCTTCAGATGGTTCCAGGTATGCTTGCAGATGTCATCTGCAGTGGCCTGAAACCACTTACTTTACCATGACCCAGGGTAAAGAAGAGAAAAAGGAACAGAGCTRTGGTAGAAGAACTGAACAGAAAAGCATTGTCTTGGATAACCTGCTTTACAGGATAATGTGCAACTTTTTGTGAGCATTAGGAGCTGTAGTTAGCTTAATTTTTACTGAACTTAAAGGAGTGAATAGGTCTTTCTGCTACCACATGAGAAATCAAAAGTATTTCACTGACATTTTGCTGTTTAGTGTAGGAATTTGGATATCAAGAATTAACATAAGACTGAATGTTTGTCTTTTTGGTACTTTAACAGATGTGCTCCGTAACTCCTGACAGAATAGGAATCACTGAAAGTGACTGAACAACAAAAAGCAATGCTTGAAATCCCTGGCAAAGAAAGTGCAAATCTTCACTTAGAAGCTCAATGGGAAGGAGTCAAAGTGGGATGAGAAGTATGAATGGTTATTCAACAGATGATGGATTGGCCCACACTGTGAAAATTAAGAGTGTTCAGCCCAGTTACTTTAAAGACTCAGGTGTTAAGATTRGAGATCTAGTACAGAACACTGTGCTCTTCATTGATCACAAGTGATGGGAAGCAAACATCTTTGCACAGTAGGTGGATCAAGTATGAGACATCAAGGTTTGAGGTGCAAAATCCATGAAGCAGAAACACAAATGCCCAGAGCTCGAGCTAACAGAATTGGAAGCCATAGTCTTATAAAACTAGAGTGTAGAGAGGCAAGCAGAGGAGAAACAAGACATTCTTTTCACACTGAAAGTAAAGTCACAAGCCTGGAACCTCTCTTGCACAGGAGCCCATGCTATATCCTGCAAAGACAAAGACCCCTGTTGTAATTTATAAGGTGCTTGCTGGTATGTGCCAATTTTTCTTGCCGATCTGGTCTCCTGTATCAGAGGTTCAAATTTAGTTTGTCAGCAATCTCAGCAACATCCAAGCAAAGAGAAAGGGAAAAGCCTGCCTGGAGCATGTGCTAACTCCTGAAGGTGTCACCCTGAAGGGGATGAAGAATGGATGAGTGATAGASAGGTCTCCTGAGTACACTATGCAGTGAGAAAGGAAGAGAGCAGAGGTTACCATGTCATGCTGCTGAGCTGAGTGGCTTGGGAGGTTGCACAGTGATCACAGCATCCACAAGAGAGTGACCCTAATGGGCAGTGCAGCAGTGCCAGTGCAGCTGTGGGAGGTAAGTGTGGATGGCTCAAGGGAGGAAGAGGAGGAGGAATATTTAGTCTTTACACTGTTCTTCAGTGAACTCTCCAATGGAGCAGTCTCCAATGTCACAGCTGTTTTGCTGTAACACCCAGGAAACCTGTAAAATAACACCAATCTGCAGCCTTTTTATTGTTTAACACGGAATCAGCTGTTAGTCTGTACCTCCTATTGATAGCATGAAGGTAATAATTAAGGAATTCTCTTTGCTGTATGAAGTGGTAGAAGCATAAAGCAGTAAATCTTCCATTTAGGTCCTTACACMGGTCACCTAAACCAGCCTAGTAAAATGTATCATGCGTTGTATTTTAGTCAGGGTTTCCCTAATGAATTCTTATCCTGATTCTTTATAGTGACCCATGGGACATTTGACTGCAGTCTGCTGAGGACCAGTAGCACAACATGAGGCTGGTAAATATTTAATATCRCATTAATTTTGTGAATTAATTTTGCAGTAGCATTATTGATGCTGTAAGAATGATAAGAAGCAGGAAGAAAAGTTGGGAAGTTTAGCTTCATGCTCTCAGCTTAGGCTGGAGGAAAATTTCAAAGTCAGAGTGTGGATTTTAGTGACTGTTAGGTCTTTGAGATGACTTCTGTTAGATGTGTACCAGCTTTGAACTATGTCCAAGAGCAAAAGCATTTTGAGACCGTTTTACACATTTTCACCAAAAGCATTTTAAGACCATTTTGAAATGAACAATGTAGGAAGAGGATAAAATGATGCCTCTGTGTCCTTCACAGGCTCAGTAACAGCTGAATGTTCTGTTAGTGGTATGGTAGGAAGGAAATTACTGGGGCTAAAAGAAGCTCAGCTGTGAGAGCATGTGACAGCAGGCAGATTTTTCTCCCATGGAAGATGGGAGCCCTAGTGCCAACCCCTGACAAGTCTCTGAGGCTGGTCCTGTGTTTTCTGTGCCAGGTGATGCCCTGGCTCCTGCAAGATGGGTACCAGGCCTGGTGTCTGAGTGCCCTCTGTGGGCCATGGCCAGAGTGGTCTGAAAAGGACAGTATGGTGTGAGGGMCATCCCTGGTTACTCCTCTGTGACAGAAACCACCTCTGTGGCAATCCTACCTGGATGCTGTGTCTGAGCTACCTCTGATTCCTGTGCACACTGGAGTTGTAGTCTGGTGTCTCAGTTACTGATTCACCTCTCCCCATGCAGAGCCCAAATTCAGATACAAATATCGGGTAGGCAGTCCAGGGAATATTTGGCTGGTTTAGCAGCTCCTCTGGGCCAGCTGTGGGAATGGAGCAGGGCCAAGGGGCAGTTTTCTCCTGCAGTTTTTGGATTCTTATAGCTGCATTCCCTTCAGTGAGCACCTACAAAGGAGGGTGAAAACTAGTTAGGAGCAGCCTTCTTCCATCCCCTTTTCTTCCCAGGATTTCTTCCAATTTACTAAACCACTTTCCTCCTGTGATCTGTCCATTTTGTTMGGAGATCTCCCTGCTGTCAAACACCTCCTTGATGTTAGAAGTGCTCAGCTGATATCTGTTCCTATACTTCCACTGGGAATTTTTCCCAGAGACACAGTACCAAACTTGTTGGAGTTTGAGGAGTGTCTGGTTAATGTTTRGTCACACAGTTTAGTTTTAGGTAGTCCTGCAAGGACCAGAGAATTGAATTCATTCATCACTATAGGTCTCTTCCAATTTGAGCTATTCTATGACTCTGTGACATTTGCAACCATGAAGAGTGTGAATGTTCATGCTGTTAATTGGGGTTCTGACAAGCTGTGTTTTCCTGAATGATGTGAAAGTGGAAGGAATATGGTTCAAGAAGGCAAACAGGTAAAATGCCCATGGGATCGTCAGTATAATGAAAGGCTGCAAAGCCCTAATGGGACTTTGCCTGGTGTTAATCAAGGGCTTCTAACTAAGGGCAAACAGATGGACAGATCAGACAAGAACAGATCATATCCCAGACTACTGCTGTCTCAGTCTTACTAAGTTTTGGCTTTGGATCTTGGCTTTGTCAAATTTTTCTTTGCAGCCTCCTGTGAAGGTGCTTTCACATTTGCTAACCCATTTTCTCAGCCTGTAGGCTCACACTCTTTCCTACAAGGTTGGCTTCTCACCACCAACCCTTCTCCCTCTCCTGGCCTYTGATTTTCAGAGTAATCAGTGAATTATCCTCTGCATGCAAATGTGCACCCTTCAGTACATACAATGTGGCTCTTCTAGGCAGATGCACAGATCCACATAATACTGAATTCATTTTGTCCATGGATCACAGAGTAGGAGCCAGAAATCCTAACAGCTTAGACACGTTAGGGCAGGAAATTCTGATCAGAGGATTCAGGGATGTGGTTGGAAATTATGTTTGTTGCAGTGTGCTTTGTTTCCTTCCTCAATCTTTTTGTCAGGGGCAGGTTTGAAAAGGATTTGGGTAGTGAAGGAACCATCCACAAACTCATCATTGACAGTTTGGGAAGGAGCAGGGGGGGCAGAGTCCCCTTCTGCTGCAGTTTTGGGATTCTTATAGCTTCATTCGCCTCGTGCACACAGTGGGTGTAGCCATCCTGTGTCCTTCTTTTTCTTTAGCAGGTGCACACCAACACCTGCAGAATCCGTGCTTCACCAGCACCTGTGCCGTGGCATCCGTCCCCACCTGTGCCAGTGGCATTKTACAGGCTTATCTGTGTGCACGAGCAAAACCTCTTCTGTCTGCTTCTTTGTTCCCCGAGGGGAGCAAATCGAACAGTCGTGCTGGTTGATTTGAAGTCGTTAAGTCAGTGATCGAGAATTTTGGCCTGAGCCTTTACTTCAAACGTTGTTGTCATGAGCAACAAGCAAAACACCTTTTGTGAAACGATGAATAGAAAGCGCGCGTATCGCTCAGCTCTTGGCAGGCAGATGGCGCCAGATGGGCTTTCGGCGGGCACAAAGCCTCTTCCTGCCGCCTGGATCGGGACAGCGGCGATGAGACCGCTGCCCAGGCGGCGGGACAAACGGGRGTACGGCTGCTGTGTCTGCCACACTCAATATTTATCTGTGCTGCAGGAAAAAATACATCCACAGCAAAGCTTTGATATAGGGAGAGTTGATTTTCCTGAATGTCAGCAGAGACTTGTAATTTCGGAAACTACATGTTTTGTGACAAAAATAAAAGGAAAAAAAAAACTCAACAAACGTGTTTAGAATCATAGAATGGCTCGGGTTGGAAGGGACCTTCTAGGTCCAGACTTTCACTAGACCAGGTTTGTCAGAGCCCCATCCTTCTTGTGGCCTTGAATAYTGCCTGGGATGGGGCATCCACAGCTCCTCTGGACAACCTGTGCCAGTGCTTCACCATCCTCACAGTGAAGAATTTCTTCCTAGTATTTAATCTAAACCTGCTCTCTTTCAGTTTGAAGCCTTTCTGCCTTGTCCTGACACTACATGCCCTAGTAAATAATCTCTCTTGCATGCTTCCTTCAGGTACTGGGCACCTGTTGGCTTAGTTTTGGGTTTTGTTGTCATGTGCAAGACATCCTTATCATGTTCATATTWTTCTGTAACAAATGAGAGAGCATTTTCTTTACTGCACTACCTAACTTTGATTCTACTATCTTTATCATGATCTTAGTTATATATCCCCATGGGACTTTTAAGAAAGAACAGCAAAAAGGGCTTCCTCTGGTGCTTTACAAAAATGAGAAATTGCCTGGAATCAAATCTCCAGGTCCTGCTGAAGTGAGGGGCTTTGGGACTTGCTATTTCCCAGAGCTTCTTCTTTTTCTGCTGAGGTGAACAACTACAGGAGGGCGAGTGCCTCACTGTAGAAGAAACAGAAATAAATTAGCTGAATCAAACCTCAATCAATCAAAACACAAGATTTTTCCCTAAAGACTTCCACAAAATACCAAATTCTGATAGTAAAAACATGAAGGAGTGTATGAGTGGCCCAGTTTTGGACCACTKTTTTTGGGAACTTGTAGGCATAGGAAATGTGTCAGGGTTTATTTGCAGCTGCAGCTTTCAAATGTTTGCTGTTCTTTCCAGGTACTCCAGTTATTGAAGAATCTGCCCTCAAGCTTTTCACTGCACATAGCATCACTGTGAAGACCAAGCCCACTGCGAGCATCAAAGTGCCTTCCAAGGCAAAGCCGGGGCCCAAAGTCACATCAAGGRCAGCAGGGAGGAGACAGAGGAAGAGGATGTGGTTCTGGAGAAAAGCCAGTGACTGCGTTACTCACAATCAAAACCTTGGTAAGAAGAGACAGTGGAGCCATTACGCTGAATCTGAAAAATCACCGTGTCTGGAGAGGAATGTAGCAATATGAAAAGGTGCAATGGCTTCAAGGGTGGGTTTAGATTAACATTAGGAAGAAATTTAATACTGTGAGGGTAGTGAGACACTGGAGCAGTGTGTTGTGGATGCCCCATTTCTGGAAATGTTCCAGCCCAGGTTGGATGRGGCTTTTAGCAGCCTTGTTTAGTGGGAAGAGTCCCTGCCCATGGCAGAGGACTGGAAGGAGATGATCTTTAAGATTCCTTCCAACTAAAACCATTCTGGGAAAAACTAATTTGGTTAGAAAACACTGTGAACTGTCTTCTGGTAGCTATAGTTCAGGTACCTGATCTAGTTGAAACTGTCCCCACTTATTCCAGTGAGGTTGGACTGGATGAACTTGAAAAGTTCCAACCCAAACTATTCTGTRATACCTGTTGTTCCTATATATGATCCCAAATGCAAGCGGTTTTGTAGTCCCCATTTCCCAAGACCAGAGTGCATCATAGAATATGCAATTTACAARCACTAAATCTGGCCTATTGAAACATTTCAAAGGAAAATCACCACCTTGTAGTAATATTTATCACTTTTCATCTAAAGCTTTGCATTTTTGTCCAAATTCCCTGTAGATTGGGGAAGACATTTCTGAGTTGGTGTGTAAAGCACTGCAGAAAGAGCTCATTTTCAGAATAAGGACAAGAATTGAAATGTTTGCACATTTGAAGTGACCAAGGGAAGTAAGTGGCAAAGAAATAGTCTTTAGAAAAGTGTCGTGATCATGAATAAACCTAAATGTACAAATTACCTTCCAAGACTTCCTCCTATACATACRTATATTTCTTTATACATGCATATATAACACAGGCACACAATTTGGAGTCAATAAATTGTGATTGTTCTGTGTTAATTTGATTTTCTTCTATGTAGAGCCTCTGAGAGAGGCACAAGCAACTAGAGGCCAGAACATTCAGCGCCTCTGAAAGTCRCATCTATGGATTTGGGTGCCTAATTTTGACCTCCTTTCCCTGACTGAGACCAGAACTGACTTGAACAAGCGTCTGATTTTGTTGTACCCATCAGATAGCTTCCGTATGATCCATGTTTTGCACAGCTTGTGTAACACATGGGAGTGTTCCTATCAGCAGCAGCATCTGACTAACGAGACTATTGCTCTTCTTTTTCTGATAATATTTTGGTYCTTTCTTGGATTCTTTCCTCTGTCTCATTCAGAATGTTGGCATTTCATATTAATTAAATTGCAATCACTCACACTATTGTCCYGGTTTGAGCTGGGATAGAGTTAATTTTCCTCTTAGTAACTAGTACAATGCTGTGTTTTGGATTTTGTAGGAGGTTGATGTCGACAGCACATTGATGATTTTGTTGTTGCTAAGTAGTGCTTTCTCTTACTAAAGGACTTTTCAGTTTCCCATGCTCTACAGTGAGCAGGTGCATGAGAAACTGGGAGGGAGCATGGCCAGGACAGCCAGGCCCAACCTGGCCAAAGRGATATTTTTGYACCATAGACTATCATGCTCAGTATWTAAACTTGGGAGAATTAGCTGGGGCTGCCAGTGACTGCTCAGGGACAGCCCAGGCCTTGGTCAGTGGGTGATGAGCACCTGTAGCATCTCTTGGGTTTTCTTTCTTCCCCTGTCTCTCTCTCCCTCTCTCTCTCCCTCTCTCTCTCTCTCTCTCTCTCTCTCTCTCTCTCTCTCTTCTTTTCATCTTCTTGGTTTATCTCAGTCCAAAAGCAATAGGAAAATTAAATTAGCGATCCCTTGGGAATACTTTTATGAGGGATTAGAGAGTTGTGTACTTACAACACGTATGTCACTCAGTACCAGATTCCACATGGATGGTTTTCTGCAGGATGCAAAACAAKTTCCATGCAATAGCTGTGAGCTGTGCTGTCCCTGGACTCCCCAGGATTCCCTAGACCTCTCATTGCAAAGGCTCCCATCAATATGTTTCCTCCACTCTGAGGAAATGTCTAGTTTTCACACATGTTACTATGCTCGTCAGTCCCCAACAAACCTTTTAAAAGAAAACTCTTGTAGGATTCATGAAAGTTGCTTATACTCTTTTGTTTTAATGCTGGAGTTTTAGTTGTTAAGAATCTGTGCCTAGTTCTGAACTGATCAATACCACAGACAAGCCCCAAAGGATTAGAGTAGCCTCAGAAATGCTGAAATGGGCAGGTTTTATTTTGTGTCACTTACAGAGAATTCTTTCTCTATATGACTAAAGCATTTTACAAACAAAAGGCTGTCAGATGCCATCAATAAATAGCCTAAACTATTGATGGAATCCTGTAATAGATACAGGGGCCTTAGCAGTTGCACATAATTCAGAATAAAAGACTGGCAAGTGTGGAAGCCAGTATAGCTGAAAAAACAGAGAATTCTATGTAGTAAATGAAAGCCTTGAGGTTAAATAGTTACTCAGATGGGAAAGCATTCAGGCCCTTTACATCAGAAGACGACACAAAACCAATTTAAAGGCTGGAGCTGTGACTCTTCTCCTATCTGAAGACTTGCATTAGGCTTAGGCTGTCCATATGCACCATATTCCTTATGACCCCTGCATTCATATGAGAGTCCTGTATAAAAGCCATTAGCATCAAGTTTGTTACGGCACTGGCTGAYGTTTTTGGTGCCAGGGGGAAGGTTCTTGCATTTTGGCTGAGAATTTCAGAGCAGTACTTGTATTTGGATACACAACTSCCTACTCATTTGATTAAAAACAACATATGGCTTTTTTTAACAGACCATCTTTTGCTTTTCTCATGTATTATGGAGGYTGCTGCAAGGTGGGCTAGAGAGCAAAAACCAAGATCTGTATTTTTTTAATTACTATTAATTAGGGTTTATGTAATCTTTGGCAAATAAATTTGAAGAACATTAATAGGATCTTGCAAGTCAGTAAGCACATTCCCTAATCCCAGTCCAGATAGCACCTGACCACTTCCCACAGTACACTAAGAGGGATTTATTAAACAAGAAGAGACACAAGGTACTCAAAGTCGTAGAAAACAGATTATAGGAAATGTACTGCAGAGCTCACCAGCCAGCTAGGAAGAGACAGAAGCAAACTTTTAATGCTAAACAGCTCTTCTAAACACATGTGGAAAATGAGCAGTGGGAAGTGCTCATAGTAGATTCCCAGATGATTCTGTGCCAGATGGAGTGAGGTTTTTTCTTAAATGGCCAGCCTGGAAACAGGGTCTCCATTATGTGCCATGTTAGGAACTGGATTACTTTGCTGGACAGAATTTGCTCTGTGTTTATTAAGGCTCTTTCTACCCCAAAAYCCTGCAGGTTCAGCATCTTGAAATGGGACCAGCTCTGTGTTCACATCTGCAAGCTGTGGACTCTCCTGCTGTCACAGAGCTTTCAGGACTGCTGAAGGTGGTGGATTTTTCAACTCCAGCCTTGGCTTAACCTGGCAGGTAGCAGACTGGGGAGATGTGCTGCCAGGATCCACACTACAGATATGAGTTGATGACACCAAAGAGTGGACAAAATGCACCAAGATAGCGAACTCGAGTCCCACATATAGTGTGGGAAGCTTGCAGAAGAGACAAATACTACTACTGAGCCCAAGTTATAAATGGAGCTGGTATGGGAGAAGCAGTGTTGTTAGAGGAATTCKAGCAATGCCACCTTCAGGTAAGACCTGCAATATCCACCTAGCTGAAGCTCCTTTCCATCAGCTGTTACATTCTTTTGTTTTTAACATTTATCACATTTTGTGAAGTTTTATCAAATTCATCTTGCACAAAAAAAAAACCCATTTAACCAGMTCTGCTGGTTTTTGTTCAGTTTTCAGAGGTTTTGAGAGGAGATGGAGAGGAGCACAAAGTTGTGCAGTCCTTGAGCCAGTTTTAAATCATTCTGCCATCCTTCTTGCTAGGCTCTCCCCTGAATGAGTGTGTCAGGTCTAATGGTGTAATAGTTGTTTTTTTGCCATCATATGATTTTTAACATCACAYCCTCACATGTGTTTACAGAGGTCAYTATTGGAAGATTCTCTGATTCCTGACACAGATTCACTAGTCTGAGTATGTATTAGGACAGTTGATGCTATAGTAAACAGAMCATCATGTTTGAACCAGCCATTTGCTGTAAATATGTGGTGTTACTGAAATAAGGATTATAATCCTTTCAGGCCCTCAGTGTGAACTGGATGAGCAATCAGCGTTCTGGCACCTAAAGTTGAAATAATATTAGCAGAGGTCATGCTTCAAGTACACTTATTATGTCTTGAGAATGAAGATATGCATGAGAATAACCTGCCATGAAATCCCCAGATTGCTTACTAATTGAGCTAGAAAAGCATTTAAATCTTTATTGCTTAGAACTTGTGTGCTTAATTATTAATTAGAAAATGCAGGTTTTTGTCTAAGATCCCATGTGACAAAGCATGGTGCTGACTGTCCTCAGCAGCAGTAAGGCCAGCAGGAAAAGATGATTCACGATTCATGTTATATAGCACCTATTTCTGTAGAGCAGAAGGACATTCAGGTTTGGCTGGGGAAGTCTCAGAAAGCACCAATATAAAAAAAAAATGGTAATTTCTTTGCTAAGTCTCCATTTTGGAATGACACAACCCATCCATGCAGCATGGCTTCATTACTGTAGCTTCAAATAAAGAAACACCAAAAAATCTCAGACTGTAGGCTCCAGACCAACTTCTCTGCTGTGGCATGGAACATGCAATACTGTGCTGAAGAGCATGAGAAGTCCTGTAGGAAACAGACATTATGCAAAGCTGTTTATGGCAGAATTTGAACAGTAAATTCATCAAATGAGGCATTAAAGCTGCTTTTCTTTTGTTCTCATACATGTATTACATATAAACTACATTTCTTTCTGATATATTTTTACATTATATTTTAATATTCCTGTCCCACCAGCCTCACCTGAAACTGTCCCGAATAGTAAGCAGTTGATTGCATTGATGTTGCCCCTGTGGTTGCACAGCTATAAGGAGAAGAGCTGGCAATATTGCAACCCTTACCCTTACTGCCTTCTGCTGAAACAGTCTGAAGGTTCCTCCTTCTAGTCTCTGACATGACTCAACAGACTGAAGAATGCACAGAAAAGTACAGCCAATCTCCCGCTCTCTTARTTTTTTCATTTTTCTCTCTCTGTCTGTTTTCCTCTTATTCCCACCCACCCAGGTTTGATCTGACTGTGAGGCTGAAGAGCCACATGGTGGTTTGTGCTGGGAGAGCACCATGCCTTCGCACAGCTTTGCTACAAGATTCTGCTTCTGTCAGAGCAGAAATCCTGCAATTAGTGCTTTCCTGGGCATCTGGTGAAATACAGCTGCAGGGTTTTCCAGCCTTCAATCTCCTTTGGCCTTTATCACAAGCTGTCACTTTGGTTTAAAAGTTGACTATTGGAGAAAACTCATGCAGAGCTTCAGGTTCACAAAGTCCTGCATAACTTCTCACTGTTTTTATGGCAAGCCTTTTTATAGGCCTCCCTGTAATGGTGGAAGGACTTCTGTGCACACAAGTTTGTCARCTGCACAGCCCAGCCCTGCACAGGGGAGAGCACCAATGCTCAACAAACCGTAAAACATTGGGGAGGCTCTGTGAGTCACCGTGAGAAGCAGAATTTTTCAAGCATGCAACTACAGTTCATGTTAGGTGAAGAGAAATCATTCTTGATTAAACCTTGAGTGACCAAGACAATGCTTGAGGTCCCAACACTGTCCTGTTTGAGGTACAATTTATATTGACATGGATGTTGAGCTTATTCTGTAGTTGCTAACAGCAATTTATGTGCTTTTCTTTTGTTGTTTTTTTATGCCTAGACTACTGCGTAAGATGAGGCTCCACAAGACCTTGCAGAATGAGCCCCATTGCAAGAAGGTACCTCTCAGTTTAAATTGTACACATTGGTCTGTATCACGCCAGATGTTTACCCTCAGCTTTCAAGATGATTAAACTAACGAAATGCAGCATAAGGTTGTTTGGAATCTCTCAGGCCACGCCAGCTGCGTGCACTTTGCTGTGGACAGAGCWTGCCATTGGCTTTGCACATTGAAGAAATCTCCAGGATTGGTGTCCTAGAAATATTTTTCTATCAGGCTGATTATGTACAAGTAGCTCCTGYAGCCCCAGACATCCTTGTTGTGCTCAAAGATGAGCTTTGTTTCTGTTCTGCCCAAGCCAGGAAGCAGAATTTTATAGTTGCAGCTGTCTTGGCCAGTTCTCCCCACCAGTGCCAATGGTTTGGCAAAAAGAGGAAGAACAAGAACCATTCCAGTCCTGATCTACAGCACCAAGTGATTTGTTTCTGCCCTGTACCAGATTATCCTCAACAAGAGTTGCAGRGATATCTTTTATAGCATTAATATGTAAGCTGCAGTTAGAGTGTAGAGAAAACTCAGCACCTGCATCACCTTGGGGTACTGATAGGAGGT